AGCCTTCTTTTCTCCAGGCTGAACAAGCCCAGCTCCTTCAGCCTGTCCTCATAGGGGAGGTGCCAGTCCCCAGATTATTTCATGAACTGAACAAATAAAAGCAAATCATTTTGGGGAGGAGAGAGTAGATTAAGTTCTGCAGTCTGCCACTGGTCATTTGCCTCCCACGTTTTTTGGCAATTGCAAATCTGAAAGGCCTTGGGAATAGCAGATCTTTAGCATTACGTAGGAGCCCAATGTGCACAACAAAACTTCTCAAGACAGATACCATGCAAACAGAGAAGAGTGCTTTCAGTAGAAAGAATAACTAGAGAACATATACAAGAACTACAAAAGGTAGTTATACTAACATATTTTGATAAATCTTTTAATGAACTCTTATTAATCAGTTTAGAACACTACTCTAATTACCATTAGAATCACTAAAGTTGGAACAGACCTCTTAAACCCCCCCATGCCCACTGCCCATGTCCCTCAGTGCCACATCCCTATGGCACTGGGACACCTCCAAGGATGGTGACTCCCCCCCACACACACTGGGCAGCTCTGCCACTGCATCACTGCTCCTTGGGAGAAGAGGTTTTCCCCAGTAACCAATATTTCAGCCTAAATTAGGGCAGAAAGCAGACCAAGCCCCATCCCCCATCTGACCAGGCACAGATACACTTACAGCAGTCCTGCTTCCCTAGCATCAAACTCAGATTTGCGTTAAGACTGCCACGTGCAAACCCTTATTTTCCTCACAGTGGAAGCCTTAAAACACCGCACAGGGTTAGCTAACCCGAAGTGTCTCTTAGGAAAAACGTTAACGTTGGCGTTTTCACCGTGACACTTTGGTGCCTTCCTGGAAGGTCAGCGCCTCCCCGCGAGAGCCGCCGGTGCCTATGGGCGGAAGGCGGCTGTGCAGAAGCTCCTCGGGCGCAGGTCAGAGGGCTCGGGGCAGCACCGCCGCTGGAGCAGCAGCTTCCCCTGGCGGACGGTCGGGTCTCCGAGAGCGCAGCTCTGCTCCTCCATCCATCCACCGCACCTTCGAGACAGGGGGGACCAACAGAACACAAATAAATCATCGCTACGCGGCAAAACCAGGAGCGCGCCGCGCAAACGGAGCCGCGTTTGTGGTTGCGCCGACGGTTTTCTCCCCACAGGATGCAGCGCGGTGCTGAGCAGGGCCTGCCGACACAGCCCAGCCCCGGGCACCGTCCCGCGCTCCACCCGCTGCCTCAGGGCCCGCCGCCCCCCGGCCTCCCCTCACGCCTCCCCACAGCCCCGCAGGCTCAGCTCTGCCGAGCCACTCGAAGGAAGGGGGAAGGGAGAACCGAGAGCCGACCGGCCCCGGCTCGGCCCACCTCACGGCGGCTGCCTGCCTGCCTGCCGCCCGCGCCGCTCGAGCTACGCGCCGCCCCACCCCCTCAGCCCTATTGGCCCGACGCTCCTCCTGCCGCCGCTTCTATTGGGCGAGCCGAAAGCTATGAGGATTTTCATTGGTGGAGCGCTCTGTCAGTCTGCCTCCGTGAACGGACTGTGGAGGAGGAGAAGCGAGTGCAGTGAGGTGTGCTCTGATTGGTCGCTCGAGGTAGAGCTGCCCGGCTGATTGGGCGGTGTGATCCCGGAGGGACGGAAGGGGCGGGGCAAGAGACAGGAAGTGCGTTTTGATTGGGGAAGGCGCCGCCGGGACGAAATAAGCGGGAGCGAGAGGGGATTCAAATCCAGGCGGTGGGGGGGCGTTGCCATGACAGCGGGGCACAGCGGCCCTCAGCCCCACCCGCGGGCCTCGAAGAACGCAAAGCAGCCGGCACACAGAGATTTTCCAGTCTTATTTAATAAATAAACATATATTGACACGTCGATGATTGCAGTCGCGGGGACGCTAGGCAGGGAGGCCGGTCTGGGCGGCCTGCCAGGGCTCTCCGCAGCTAGCTCCTCCTCTTCTCCAGGTCAGCCAACAAGTCCACGATTTCTGTGGAACACGAGGCAGCGTTACGGAGTGCTTCTGGTGCCTGAGAACTTGTGCTTTACCCGACCAGGCCTACGCCCACCCCAAAGATGGAGAACCTTCCCCATTTACCCCAGTTGGCAATTAATTGCTCTTGTGCCATGCCAAAAGAGCGGGCCTGGCTGTGCGTGGTGTGGATAAATGCTGCTGTGTGAACAGAGCGTACGAGGAGACCGTAAGCACGCCAGCTACAGAAGGAAACCCACTCTTAGGAGACCTGGTGGTGTCAGTGGGACGAGGGGTGATCCCAAAAGACAAAACTGGGCAAAATCTGATGGATAACAAGGGGCAGATCCAGCACTGAGTTGGCTGGCTGAGGGACCCGTGGGGCACATGTCCACGACACTCACGCTCAGCAGATGGGCGCTGGAACGGATCGAAGGCCCGACACTGGTTGATGACTTTCTCCAGCTCTTCAGGACAATCTTTCCCCACTGGCTCCTGGTACTGGCAGTCACAGATTTTGTCTTTGATCTCCTGGAGAGAGCAGCCTAAGTGAAACAAGGACATCAGGAGGCGTGGAGGCCCACCAAGGCCATCCTGCAGCCTCCTCCGTGGAGAAGCCAGCAGAGGGGGCATCCAAACTGCGTCTGCAATGAACTCCCCCCATCTTTGCCTTGACACCGCTGGGCCCCATTGAAACAGGATGTCTTAACGCTTCAGCACATAGAAACAACGAATAGAGACAACATTTCTTGCATTCTTGTGGTTTAACCATGTGCAGAAGCCGTGAAGACATCACACAGACCCGAGCACTGGGACCCACGTGCTATGGGATGCTCCAGCAGCTGAGCTTTTACACAGGACCATAGACAACTTCTGACTCACCTTCAAATGGGATTTTGGAGGTTGCAATCTCCCACAGCACGATCCCAAAGCTGGAAAAAGACAAGCAAGAGTTTCTCAGCATTCATCCCACCATATCATCCTCCTTTCTAATGGAGAGGGCTGGGGGCTCTGCCTAATAATGTCTGATTAAACCTGGCCTCCATCCACAGCTTGACAGCTTGACATCTGCCCACGGGCATTGCATCCCGGCGGGCTTGTGGGGCAGACATACCTGTATATCTCACAGGACCTCTTGTAGGGGCAATAGACATCCATCAGGTTCTCGGGGGCAATGTAAGCCAACATACAGACTTGGCTCAAGTTCTTCTTATTGACTTTTCTCTTGATGGAAGACTCTGTTTCACAAAGCTCAAATCCTGACAGCTGTTTGCAAAAGTTAGATTGAGAAAGGGAGAGGTGTTAGAAATGTAAAGTTGGTCACCGGTTCCCAGCTCAACTTTTGTGGCCACATTTCCTCTTCCTTTTGTAACGTGCATAGTTAGCAGCTAAATGTAACCTTACCACCCCCCTGCTCCTACTTCTAGAGCTTCTCCAGGCGTGGTCCTTACCTTCACACAGTAATCCCCAGCCACCAGGAACTTGCTGCTGCAGATGCAGCCGTGCAGTCGGGACTTCTCCTCCGTCTGGTGCAACCTGCAGCCAGCCAGAAACAAGAGCAATGCGTGCCATGTTGGGCCAACCTCTGCCTTGGGGTACAGCAACGCATGCATGTGGCCCCCCAGGCGGCCTGCCACCAATTTGGAACTCACCTGTAAAGGCCCCTGGCAGCTCCCAGGGCCATCCGAATGCGGACTTCCCAGGAGAGATGCTGTTGCTTGGTCAGCACCTCCCGCAGTGTGCCGTGCTTGCAGTACTCCATGACGATGGAGAAGCAGGGGATCCCATCTGATGTAGAAAAATGCATGCTGAGGGTGCAGCTGGCCCCCAGGACAGCCACAGACCAGCTCATGTCAGGAGAGCTCCCAGGGTCTGCGTGAACCATGGTAAGCCAGTGCTGGTTCTGCTGGGTAGAACTGGCTGCATGTCTCTGATTTTTTGGGATCTGATCTAATGCTTCAGTGCTTTACAGCAGAGAACTGCCTCGTCCCTACAAGAGCCTCAGCAGAGATGGGGGAAGCAGCCCCTCAAGCATGCCCCTTTGTGTTACCTCAAGCCGTCTGCCACCAGCTAGCACTAGGGACAGGCAGGGAAGCAAGAGGAAGCCCTAAATGCCACACCCCGTACCTTTCTCCTCAATGCAGATCCCATACATGCGCAGAATGTTTGGAGACTCAAACTTCTTCAGGGTCTGAATCTCCTTCTCGAAGATATCTCTCACCTTCCTGCAGAAAGGGACAGCACAGTGAGGTCGTGGGGTCATAGAAAGGTTTGAGTTGGAAGGAACCTTAAAGGCTGTCTGCTTGCACTGCCTGCGCTGAGCAGGGACACCCACAGCTCCATCAGTGCTCACAGCCCCATTCCCTGACCTTGGCTGCCTGCAAGGATGGGGCAGCACCAGCTCTCTGTGCAGCCTGTGCCACTGCCTCACTGCCCTGAGTGCAAAGAACTTCTTCCTTATCTCCAGTCCAAACCTCCCCTTTGGTTTGAACCATTTCCTCTTGTCCTGTCACAACAGACCCCACTAAAGAGTCTGCCTCCTTCTTTCTTCCAGCCCCTTTAGATACTGAAAGGTCCCCAGGGCAAGACATGTTGTGCCATTCTCCCAACCCCACTGCCCTACGCTGCTCCAGCTCAGGACAACTCACACTGTGTCAGTGGTCAGTGGCCTCTTGAAGGTTTTGATGGCGACTGGGTACTTGAGATACTCTCCCTCATAGAGGTCGTAGCGCTCAGTGTCCTGCAGGTGCCTGCGGAAGGTGAGCTGGTCCCGCTCGATCTCAGTGATGGCTTCCCTTTTGCCAACATTGACCTTCTTCAAGCCTGCTCACGCCACACCGGGAGGAATGAGGCACAGATCAGGCAGGGTTGGGGGAAAGCCAGTGACTCTCTGGCTTAGCAAAGCATTTTACAAAAGTGTTTATCCTTTCTAAAAGGGACACAGAGGGTGGATCTTTTTGTGACGCCAACTTACTGTCCATCACACGCACGATTTTGTTCAGCTCGCCTTGCATCCAGTCTACCTTGCTCTCCATGCACTGACTGCCCATTTGGATCTGCCAGGCCTCATCTTCAGGCTCTTTGGTACCTGGGGTAAGACAGATAGGGACAGAGGTGGGCTGGGTGAACGTGCAGCACTGGCACTACAGTTCTTTTGGTCTCTTTGGCTTTCCCCAGCCATTGCTATCACGCCAAAGCTGGGCTGGGGCAGGCTGCCAGCTCCCAGCCAACCTCCGGTCTTGGGGAAGGGAAGCTAAATGCACACTTACTTGCAATAACCTGGTCCAGAAAAGCCTTGTCGTCCCTCAGATCCTCAGCATCTTGCCTGCGACAGATCTTTGCCTGGAAGGCCTCCAGCAACGCCTGCTTCTGCTCTGCTTGTAGCAGCAGCGAGAGTCCTTGGGCGATGTCCTCCAGGCTCCTGTTCACCCAAACAAACTCCTCTCCGCTGCTGCGGGCGCTCAGGAACTTCTGGATCCAGCTGGTCTGGCTGTATTTTATCACCAGCTTCTGGGCTTCCCCCAGTGCCTGGAGCAGCTTGGTCAGCATTTGCTCTTCATGGTGGGAGATCTGCCAAGATGGCTGAGCCTGCAGGACCCTCACGGGCTCCAGCAGGATGTGGATGCGCTCCACGAGGCGCTGGCACTGGTGCTTGCAGCACTTGACGTGCTCAAACTGGCTGTGGATGGCATGGGCGATGGAGAAGACCTTCTCTATGATGTCCATGCTTTCAGCAAAGGGCTTGGCTGATGGGGATGTGGGACAGCGGCGTCTGCTGGAGGCGACCCTCGGGCAATGCTCACAGATTCAGTATGGATCTTCTGCACCTTAGCTGTTAAGGAACAGCCTTAACATGGCACACAACACCCCACAGCCCTCACCTCTCCCATAGCTGCTCTGCTTCCTGGCATTTGTGTAGATGGGAGTGGACACGTGTGAACAAAGACATTGGTAGCAGTGGTACCGTCACACGAATAATCACAGAATATCCCAAAATGGGAGAATTGATGGGTCCAACTCCTGGGGCATTTTAGCTTGTTTTACGTGAATTAAAGCAGAAGCAGCCAGAGCAGGATCCGTGATCTCCCAGTAGCATCCCCCAGCTGTGCTCCCCAGCATTACCACCCAGATAACAACAGTTTTCCTACATTCACGCAGCCCCAACCTCTTCACCTCATCTCCTCTCCCCCCAAGGAACCTTTGCTAAATGAAATCAAAGAGCACAGCTTACCTGGCCCTGTTCTGCTTGCCTCCTCCTCAGCTGTCTTTGTAGACTAGAGAGGAACCAGGGACGTGGGGTTTTATAGGGTGCTTTCCCAGCAGCGGAAGCTGCATTGTGCAACGTGGAACCACCGTCACAGGAAAGCTGCTCCAGCTGATGGAGGATGGTACAGAGGCACACGGTGCCCCTCCATCCCCTCCATGCAAGTTCGGGGTACTGGAAGGAGGAAGCACCCACGGGAAGCACTTTGGGGAAGCGGGATAGAGGGGTGTCTGTGTCCCCTGTATCAACGCTGACATTCCAACCCCTTTTGCCACCCACTCAGCTTTCCCAGGGCACTGCTTGGTGCCAGCTCCAGAGCATCCCAGCCCTGCAGGGGGGCTGTGGGGCAGGGTGCAGCCCCCAGCCCCAATTCCAGCCTGACCACGCAGCCCTCCCCTCTCTCAGCCCATCCACCGTCAGAGGAAGTGGGTTACAGGTGAGGAAAGCAATGCCTGACCCCTACCCGGAGGGCAGGAAGCTTTGCAGGCTAATTTTCGGAAGCACAGGGCCACAACATGACACCCATTGCCCAACTTCGGGGAAGTGGCCCTGGGGCCTTTCCAATGACAGAGGGCTGGCTGTCACACAGCTGATGGGAAGCAGCTCCTTCTCTGCCAGAGCTCTGCTTTTCTCAGTGGCACAGCCCCAGTCAACACAGGGAGGTAGGAAAGGTGACAGCAAGGGACGGTGGCCTTAAGAGCCCCCCCAGAGCCAGGCCCTCGGGGAAAGGTTTTATTTTTCAAAATATACAGTTTATTTACAATTGTCATATCTAGAGTTGTACATAATAGCTTCATTCCAAACCTTTAAATATCTGCAGTAAACATTAGAAAAAAAAATAATAATAATCACAGGATCAGCCAAAAAAAAAAAAAAAGGCATCTTTTAGCAATTCCATTCATTGGAGTTTAAGTTTCAAGTAGCCGAGGACCACAACAAATGCAAAGTCAAACGAATCTGGCAGGGAGATGGGGAGCGCTGGTTAGAGAAAGGCCAAGGCCAGCCCTGCCAGATGCCTGCCTGGCACCACATTGCAAGGAAAGCCCACTGCACGGGCAGGCAGTGCCGTTTGGTTTTATTTCCCTTGTTGTTTTTTTTTTGTCTCCCCCCTCCCCACAGGTTGCCCAAGGGACAGGAGCCCCTGGGTAGGAGTTGGGTGCAGTGCGTCGGGCGGCTCAGGGAGGCACATGAGAGGGCAGGGGTGCAGGAAGGGGGGCTCGAGGCACCCGGCACTTCATCCTTCAGGCACAGAGGTGCCCACTCATCAGTGCCCTCAATGGGAAGAGCTGGAGCCCCAACAGCCTCCTCCCACCCCCTCCCCACGTCCGTACCCTCCCGGCCCCACTGGCAGCACCGAGGGGATGGAGCAGCCCCACGGGCAACGGAGAGGGACAGGAAGGAAGGTGCAGACCCTCAGCAGCACAGTATTTCCCCCCCACAGCCCTGAGCACGGATGGCTGAGTGCTGGGGCCATCAGTCCTCTTTCTCAAAGGTCTCTTCGGGGATGAGCGTCCGGAAGGGGTGATCCCAGAAGCGGGTGGTGATGCCAAAGCCTACGGGGGAGGCAAGAGAGCGCTCAGTGCACGGCCCTGCTGGATGGCTGGGGGCAGCACTAACCAGACCTGTGCCACCAGGACAGAGGGAGCCAGGACAGGGAGCGATTACAGCCCAAGTTCTGCAGGACCCCACCACGTGGCCGGGACAGGACAAAAACGTCACCCAGCGTGGTGATGACAGCAGAGCGGGGCGGTCCTTCCACAGGACTGACAGCGCGTCACCCAGCCCCAGGGCAACAAGCAAGGGCGAGGAGGAAGAGCAGAGGGAACAACGAGAGGAGCCGGCTGGGATGATAGCTTATCTGGACAGGGTGCTTTCTCCTAGGAAACCGGGCAAAGGGCAGGTTGAGCAAGGGGAAGGCGTGGGGCAGAACAAGGAAAGCCCGGGGCCTCACCCTGCACCCGCCAATGGTGCCGCAAGGAGGGGCTGGGCACGGTGTCCCATTGTCTGATGGCAAGATGGGCACGTAGCAGGGCTCCCACAGAGGGGCACTTAGTCTGTCATAGACACCCCTGCACCATGCTGAACCAAATGCAGCGTTCCCAAGCTCCATGCCCATTCCCAAGCCAGAAAGGCACAGCACAAGCACGGGAACGCGGCGCTACCTGATTTTTGGTGCTCAAAGTGGTGCTTGACGTGGTACGCCTTCAGCCCATACAGGTAGGTGCCTTCCTTCGGCGAGCCATAGTGCAGATAGTAGTGCATCATGTCGTACACCACGTAGCCACACAGCCCTCCAACAAAGACAGAGAGCCCCAGCACCTCGGGCAGCAGCAGCCGCAGCACGCCGTAGAAGAAGGCGATCACCAGCGAGGCCGGCACCGGGGGGAAGACCAGGCGGGAGCTGTCAAAGGGGGACTGGAAGCAGAGAGAGACGGTGGGACGGCGAGCTCCTCGCTCACCCCAAAGCCACCCCGAGAGCTGGGAGCATCCATCCCACAGGGCAACGCCGTCCCCATGGCCACGCATGACAAAGCACGACCCCCCACCCTGAGATGCATCCTGAGCCAGGCGGTGGCTCCGGCTCGCAGGCACCATCTCAAAGGGGATGGATGTCTCCCCTAGTGAAGCTAGAGGGAGCCCACTGCTTTCTGAGTCTTGCAAGCCGGGCTCATGGTTTAACTCCAGCCGCTCCAAGCTCATCCTCCAGCATTAGCAAAGGGCAAGGATACCCCGAGTGGAGCAGAAGCATTGCCGCTCACCTTGTGGTGCTGCCCGTGCAGCAAGAAATGCAGGGTGATGAGATAGTAGTTACTAGCGGGTGGCTTCATGTGGAAGACAAAGCGATGGATGAGGTACTCTAGCAGGGACCACAGGAACATCCCCAGGAGGAAGATGAAGGGGAAGTAGTATTTGTGCACGGGGATGGAGTACTCTACACAATGAGACATGCAGCAGTCAGCGAGGCGGGTGGGATTCACATGCTTCTATCCATCGCCATCCTGATGCCAGCAGCCTGGTGAAGCTCGCTTCTCCCCCCACTTTTGTTTGGTTCCCCTTAATTTGTGTTCTTTCGGGTAGTAGCTGATGCCAGCTGGGACTGCAAGCATGTCCTTACGGAGCAGCTTTCCCCACCCAAACAAGCAGCACGACCCGACAGACACAGGCAGTGCTTGTGACAGCAGAACAGAGTCGCTGCTGTGTTTTTGTTTGGCAGAGAATACAGCTGTCGGGCGCTTTCCCCCGCAGAGCATTTTTCCACCACCTCCTCCTTTTGGTGCCAGCAAACCCTATGTCCTCCCTCGCAAAATTCACACCGTGCTCACTAGCAAAATCCCCCCAGATCCAAGCACTGTGGCAACGGGAAGAAAACCCCCTCTGGGCAGCAAAATGCCCAGTGTGCAACCCATCACCCTGCATGGGGAGGCAGCAAGCACGGTTGGGAACGCACAAGAGATGGAAAGAGAATGGGGAGAAACAAAAGGATGTGTGATGGATTTATTCTAGCCAGGACGGAGGCAGGGAACCCAGAACATCAAGACCTGCTCTGATTTTGGGCCGAGCGGGGCAGCTGGCACAGGGTGGCACCAGCAGGAGGGCCAACAACAAAGCTGTCACCCGGCCGGCCGCTGCCCGCTGCTGGGGCTGTGCACAGTGGTGGATTCAGGGGGAGGTGCTGGGTGAACAAGCCGTGCTCTGTGCAAGGCCGGTGGTGTGAGAGCCGTGTTTGTTCACCCAGCCCCAGAGGCAGAGCAGTGGGTGGCGGCGCAGGGGGGATGTGGCCATTGGTGAGCAGCAGCACTTCGTTTTGGGTATGGAGGAAGGGAGGCAGCTCAGGGCTGTGCCTGCTGCCCTGGGCAGCCCGTTCTGTGCCCACCGCTCTCTGGGGCAGCAGCTCTCCTAGGAGCAAACCCACGATCCTCCCCCAAACGGACAGGCAGGGGAGCGAGGCGAGCTCAGCCAGCATGGGTGGCCTCGTGCAGGGGACATGCTGGTTGGCTGCTGGGATTGGGGATGGACTGCGCTCATGCAGGCGTGCGCTGAAGGCCAGGGATGGGTCGTACCTGTGGTGAAGGAGGAGAAGAGCCTGGTGTCGCCCTGTGCCAGGGCTGTGTAGCTGACCCAGCTGAGGTAGAGCACCACGGGGGTCCACACCAGGAACACCACGTACCTACAGGGAGAGGGGATGGGTCAGGGGGGTGAACCCAGATATCAACATGTCCACCCTCCCCCACCCCAGGATGCTCACCATGCTGTCTTGGAGAGGGCCTCAACAAAATCCGAGTGGAAGAGGCGGATGGGCCGATCCACAGGTTGGTGCACCCACTCATCGTACTTCTCCCCCAGGTAACCCACCTGCCACAGCAAGGGCTTCCGCCAGTCCACCAGGTCCTGGGGGCACAGGGCTGTTCGTTAGGTCCCTCAGGGGCCCCTTGTCCCCATCCCAATAGTACCCACAATCCGGGGGGGATTTATGGAATCATTAAGGCTGGGAAAGACCTCAGGTCCAACCCCGTCCACCCTGCCATGCCCACTGCCTGCAGCCCTCAGTGCCACATCCCCATGGCTCTGGGACACCTCCAGGGATGGTGAATCCCCCCACCCCTGGGAAGCTGTGCCACTGCCTGTGGATTCTGGATAGGGATGGATGTGGTCACCCAGCAGGGTAACAACCCCAGTACGCATGGGAATAGATGTAGATGCTCCACAACAGCAGAACTTCAGAGCAGAATGTCATTTCGGGACACACGCAAAGGAAAAATTCTCTTTTAAAGGCAATCGGTGGCAAAATATTCATAGGGAACAAAGGGTTTCCTGTTGGTCAAATAAAGATAAAGGCTGGTGCTCCCCAAAGAGCACTTGGCACAGCAGCCACATGGTGCAGTAAGAGGCATCCAAAGGCACCTTGGGGACAGGGAGAAACCCTGGGACATTGAGCTCTCAGTCTGCCCAGCCAGGACATCCCTTCCAGCTCAGCCAAAAGGAAAAAACAAATCATAAATTAATAGAAATAATAATAATAATAATAATAAAAACCAAACAGCATGAGGTGTGGCTTAGCAGCACGTCCTGCTTCTAAAGGCAAAGCTGCTGTCAAAGAAAGGCATCAGCACCCACAGAGGAGCCTCCCTGAGAGGCCACGCCTGGGCCATAAAGGCAGCACTGTGCAGGGCGAAGGGCAGAGCACGGCCTCACCGTGCCCACATCCACCGGCTTGCAGCGGGGGTCCAGCCGTGGGGCTGCAGCATCCAACGGCTTCTCCGCCTTGGGGCAGCTCTGCAATGAGAAAGAGCAACGGTTTGGGAGTGCTGAGGAACCACAGGATCACTGTGGTTGATAGAGACCGCCACGATAGTCTCATCCAACTGCCCGCAAATCACGTCCCTATGAACCACATCCACGTGTTTCTGGGATGCATTGGACCCCCAGGCACACACGCCAGCCTGCTGTTACGGCTGTAGGGCACTGTGGTGTTTGGGACATTGAGGTACACAAGGACCGGGAGCACAAGGATGGAGAAAAAGGAGGAATCCCCCCACGTGGCTTCGCCCAACAGCAGGGACGTGTTGGCACCTCCATTCCTCTGTGCTCCTGGGTACCAACGCGCCTTTTCCCTGCCTCGTCACCTCGGTTACCCATTAACCAGCCATAGGTTTTCCCCAGATGGTTGGGACACGTGGGACAGCCCCCACACAGCTCCACGGGGACACGAGTGGCGGTGACACGGCCCCAGCGGCGCCTCGGCGAGCAGCCAGGGCTTTATGGGGCACTCGTGATGCTGACGCGGGGACGCTGGCCGACCCCGGGCACTGCTGGTGGGACAAGGTGACACCCGGGCTGGGCAGCAGAACCAAGCATGAAGACCCTAGAAACCTAAAGCTGAAGGTTGACACGGCCTCCAAAGGGGGGACATCGGGACGGAGACCCCCACGAGCGTCAGCCGGAGGGGAGGCGGCTGCGGGGCTGCGCCTGGGCGCTGCTGCCGCTGCCTCTGACGCGGCGCACGGAGAACAGGTCCTGCCGGAGCCGTGATGTAAGGCAGGGAAAGTCGCGCCCGCCTACGGAGCGCCGCCGCCCTGCACCTCGCCCCGGCCGCGGGCAGCTCTGCTGGGAAGCGAAGGAAGGCTGCGGTGCATTTCCACCGCGCAGCACCAGCGATGCTCCCGTGCCCGCGACCCCTGTCGGCCTACGGGGCACGGACACCCCAAGCTCACCCCACGGTGCCCGCGTCATCATCCCGCCTTCAGGCCGTGAATCACAGGGCGGTGAGGAACGGGTGCAAGGTGACACGGCCCATAAAATGTGGGTTAAAAAAAAAAAAAGATAATAATAAAAAAAAAGGGCCCTCTATTACAACACCTCCCAACAGGTGAGCGCCTACGTACGGTGAGCTCACACGGCGCCGGGAGATGCGCGGTGACTCACGGCAGCGTCGCGCAGCCCCGCGGAGCTCTGATGAAAGCCCCATTGCTCAAATTGCCGGCTAATTATACGATCCGGTTCCCCCCCAGCGAAGCTGTTAAACCCCGCCGTCTCGCTGAGCTAATTGCCGTTCCTCGCTTTCATCTCCGCTGCGCTCCGTGCGCGCAGTTCGGCCGTGGAAATGGGGATGGGTGATTCAGCCCCCGATAGCCGCCCTCCCGCTGGGGGCTGCCCCCGGCCCCACACGCTCCATAATTAAGCCGGGCTCTCGTTTAATAAACTCGCATTCCTACAGGACGTCCTACGGCGCAGCACCTCCTCCAAATCCCCACCGGGGCCGCGTCCGCCCCAAACCAACCCGAGCGTCGCCAAGGGCGCACGCCGGCCCCAGCGGGGCTGCTCTCACCCCGGTGCCACCGCGACCCGGGACGCGTTATCCCGTGCCAGGCAGCGTGCGATCCCCTCGCCCCGGTGTTATCGCACCGGTATTTGCCTTCGTGCAGCGGCACAGAACCCGTTTGGTCGGTGCCGGCGCTCGGCCGAACCCATCGGGCTTGTTGTGGCGGCCGCGTCCCAACAAAGGCGCTGCCATCGCCGAGCTTTGGGGCTGGAAGAGCCGAACGCCGAACAAAGCTGCGTCTGTGCGGGGCCAGAGAGCAAACAGCGCCGGGAAGCACTGCCGGTCACCGACCCCGCGGCACCGGGCGTTCGGTCAACGCACACCGCTGCAGCGGCAGCTCCTACAGCCCACAGCCCGCTCCGCACACCCCGACAGACGGCTGCGGTGCCGGCACCCAACCCGCGGATCGCAGCCCGCAGACCCCCCGGAGCCTGGGTGTGCCCTGGACCTTTGCACCACAGGCGTTGGGTGCTCAGCACGCACCCTGCCTCACGTCCCAACCCCTCCGCGGCCCTGAGCGCCCCACGCAGCTCAGCCCCATTGACAGGGACGCAGGGAACCCCACGGGTGCTGCACAGCTCTCGGGGTGCCCTGCAGACGCTGCACAGCTCAGCTCACCCCGGACACCTGCAGGCACCGTGCAGCTCCATCCCATGCTCACAGGACCCGGGTGCCCTGCAGACCCCACACTGCCACTCCAACTCTAGGGCACCCTACAGGCCCCACGCACTTCAGCTCACTCCCCCAGCACACCCTATGGATCCCATACCTCCTCCCCAACTCCTAAGGCAACCTACAGACCCCGTATTTCCTACACCACCCCCATGACACCCTACAACCCCTATTCTGTCAAACCCGACTCTGGGACACCCTATGGATCCCACACACCCCATCCCGCCCCTAGAACGCACTATAGACCCCATACCCCTCACCCCACCCCAGCACACCCCACTGACCCTAAACTTCCCGAACATTCCCAGCACACCCTATTAGATCCCATACTTCCTACCCAACTTCCATGCTACCCTACAGACCCCACGGTTCCCAGCCCAACCCTGGAGCACTCTGCAGACTCCACATGTCCCAGCTCACACCCAGCACATCCTACAGACCCCAAACTTCCTACCCTGCTTCCAGGGCACCATACGGACCCCACAGCGCCCAGCCCAGCTCCGAGGCGCCCTACAGACCCCACACCGCTCCCCCCATCCCCGGCACATCCCGCACACCCCGCCCCGCTCCCCGCATACCCCGCACACCCCACAGCTCCAACGCCGCTCCCAACGCGCCCTCCAGACCCCGCTCCCCTCCGGCCCAACTCCGGGACGCCCAACGCCAACAGCCCCACCCCGCTCCCAGAGCGCCGGACGGCTCCCGCAGCCCCGCTACCTGCTCGTCCCGCAGCTCGCCCACGTAGTACTGCTCGAGCCAGCGCCGGGCGTTGGCCGAGTGCCGGTGCGGGGGCCCGTCTAACGCGGCGCTCACGTCGGTGCCCGCTCGGCTCCGCAGCAGCCGCTCGCCGCCGGGATGCAGCCGCACGAAGGCGCTCAGGTCGTACAGGCGGCGGCGGCACCGCACCAGGCACTCGCCCCGCGCGCAGCGATCCCGCACCTCCGCGGCGCTGAAGGAGCGCGGCGCCGCCATGGCCCCCGCCCGGCCCCGGCCCCGCCGCGCTCTGCCGCCACCTGCGCGCCCGCGCCGCTCATTATGCGGGGAGGCCACGCCCCTCCCGCGCGCCCATTGGGTGAGGGGTGGAAAGGGGGAGGGACTTGCGGATGGTGGCCCCGCCCACCCGGCAGGTGCGGGGTTACGGGAGAACGGAGGGCACGGAGGGCTGGGGGCGGTGCGGCATCAATGAGGGAGAAATGCTGAATGGCTGCTTTGGTGGTTGTAGGATGAGCTTAACCTGCACGCGTGTCTGAAAGGCTCCTGCTCTTCAGAGGGTGGTGAGGCACTGGAACAGGTTGCCCAAGGAGGCTGTGGATGCCCCATCCCTGCAGGCATTCAAGGCCAGGCTGGATGTGGCTTTGGGCAGCCTGGGCTGCTGGTTGGTGACCTGCACACAGCAGGGGGTTGGAACTGGATGAGCATCGTGAGCCTTTGCAACCCAGGCCATTCTATGATTCATTCTAAGGAATGGCAGAAACGTGGGGCACGGCAGCAATAGTGGGATCCCTTGGGGCAATGGAGGTACGGATGTACCCGAGAGAGGGGGATGGGGTGATGCTGGGGGACACCACGGCTGTGAACATCCCTGGTCCTGCTCCCCCGGCCCCATCCCCCGGCTCTACACAGATTTATTTGTCACCAATGCACTGAGCCGGATGGGCCCCCAGCTGGGAGGGCAGGACTGAGTCCCCCCCCAGACTCCCTCCAGGAGCGGAGGTTAAGGGGGATAAATAAAGCAGTGCGGACAGCCCCGCTTCTCCTTCCCATTATCCCCCAACCTCTCCCTCCCAACTGTGGCTTCTGCCCCCGTGGGTGTGCGGCTGCCTCAGGGGACACCCCCACACCGCAGCCCAGCCCAGCCATGGTGCTCCCTGCCCAGGAACGCGGCCCCCCCTGCCCTGCAGCAGCCCAGGCCCGGCTGCTGAGCAAAGCCTTTAATCGGGGCAGGCTCCAAAGTGCCCGTGCCCCCGTGTGACATCATCTGCCCAGCAGCAGCTCGAGACCCACCGGTCTCATTTTGGGGCCCCTGAGCCCAAGGGTGAGGCAGGGGGTTCCCACCCAGGGATGGGGTGGAGGTGAATCCAGACAACCCTCAGCCCTGGGGGTGCGCCTGGGGTGCAGCACCCAACGCACGGAGCAGCCTGAGCCCCATGGAGCCACGCGGACGGGCAGCACCCTGCAACGCAGGCAAGGCGGAGGGACTCCAGCCACCAGCGTGCCCACGGGCACTTCCGACACTGGCAGCTCCCAAACTGGTTTACCTGCACATCGGATGCAGGAATGTGCCCATGGTGTTTGTGCGGGATGAGGCCCTGCAGCCCTGACGCTGGGTTAATGGGGACGTGGCTGCACAGGAAGCAGCTGCAGATGTGGCACCGTGAGGACGGGGTCCCTCGGTAGCTTCCTGCTCAGGCCAGTGGGAATCAGCCCTTCCTGCCTCCTTGCAGTCACCGTGCGTTGAGCAAGAGCATTCCCAAGGCAGGCACTGCACTCGCTGCAGGGTGTGAGAGCGTCCAGGAAGAAGTTCCTCCTCCCTCAGCAGGGTTGCACAAACACCCAGAGCTTTTCCACTGCGCTCCGAAGCATCAGAGCCGCCCTCCACCTGCAAGGCATTCAGATACTATGGAGATAGCCTGTAATGATCTGTAATAACGTGCAAATACCACAATCTGTCAGCCTGTCATTTTTAAATAACAAGTCTCCCTTCCCTCCCAGCCTAGACGTGCGCTCTCGAGCATGGAAATGAAGGCACATCAGGGGTGGATGGCTGTCACGTAGGGAGCTGTGGGGCGGCCGCATTGCTTCCAGGGTGACACAGAGCGGAAGTGGGTGTGGGAATGGGGAGTGGGACCGCAGCCCTGGGGTGCCCAGAGGATGCACATCAAGTGCAGTGAAATTGCACAGGGAGGGAGAGCTGCTCACGGCACAACGACCACAGCTCCACCAGAACACGCTTCAAAAAATAACTTTAATGTTTAAGAGACATCTTCTGCTTGTTCCACAGCAGGAGTGGAGCCCACGGCCTGAGTTATCACAGACACAGGCCATGCCAAGCAGCAGGCACAGCCCCAAAGAGAGGGATCCATCCAGGACATTCTCAAATGGAAGGCACAAACCTGTTGCCTCTGTTATCCCTATCACTTTTCCAAACCCCTTTTCCCCTTGAAATCATCACAAATTACTCATCAGTTTCCCCCCTGCACAGAGCACATGTTCTGCTTGCGTCTTCCCAAGCCTTTCTGCATTGCCCCCCGCAGATGAAGGGAGACCCACAGTCCTCACAACCTGCTGTGGGCCCCAAACAGAAGGGCAGCTGCCTCTCCCAGCCCTGAGGAGGAGCTGCCAGCAAGGCAGGGACAGGCAAGTTAAAGTGCACTGAATCACCCAGAGCAGAGCGCAGAGACACTTACTGAAGAGCAATAAACTCCTGGAAGAAAGCAACTAATCCTAGTGGCTGTGATTGCGTGGCTGGGCTTTTCACACCAGGGGCTGATATGGAACAGTGGGAGGAAAGTATTTAGGAAATAATGCTGAAAAATGTCATTTCACTCTTGCTTTATGGGATAACCTCAGCAATGTAAACAGCAGTTCAAAAATAAGGACCCTGCTGTCTCAGAAAGTGACTCGGAGCACAACCACTTGCTGAGCACAGATGACAGCGAGCCTGCAGAGCTCACTGCTGCTTGCAAATTATTTCTGCCTCAAGTATGTGAAGAAGGCTCTGCCCAGCTCACCCTTGGGCCCATCCAGAGGCACCTGGAAAGACACTACGCAGCTGGATCAGATCTGGCTCTGCCAGTCGAGTGCTTTCCAAAGGAGCTCTGAAGCCCTTTCTCAGCCTGGCAGAGACTAGCCAATATTTACACTCCTTCTGCAGAACAAGTGTGAGCTTGGTGGTGTGGCATCCATTGCCAGCAATGGACACACTGGAGTTTGGTCCAAGCGGTCTGAAAGCAACCTGGGAAGCACAGGGACACTGGAAGCACTCAGAAAGGTCAGCACACCGCCAGAGCTCCTGCACTGGCTCCCTGCACAGCTCCTCCAGATGCTGCAGAGCCGAGTCAACGTGGCTTGGGAATTCCATCCCAAATCCCACTCCCGGGGTGCCGTGTTCTCACACTGTTCAGAAGGTGCTTTCGAGCAGGCAGTGACACCCGCAGCCCGTGGGGCACACCTCCTGTGTACGGAACCACTCCATCATGTGGCTGGTGTGGCCACCGTGCCCACACGTCAGGCAGAAGTTGGAGGAGCCCCGCACAGCCACGTGGCAGATGGCACACTGGAAGGTGAAGCCCTTGCAGATGGCGCACTGGGTGCCCCGCGCCTCGCTGCGGCAGTGGCTGCAGTACACACCAAACTCTGGTGGGAGGGAAAAATGGAGAGCGAGATGATTAGTGCTGCTGGAAACCACAGAATCATTAAGGTTGGGAAAGATCTCTCAGATCCCCACGTCACACCCAGCCCACTCCCATCATACCCACTGACCACATCCCTCAGTGCCACATCCACACAGCTCTGGGACACCTCCAGGGACGGGGAATCCCCCCTTCCTTGCACAGTTGTGCCACTGCATCACCGCTCTCTGGGAGAAGAAATTGTTCCTGAAATCCCACCCGAGCCTCCCTTGGTGCAACTTAGGGCCATCAGCTCTTGCTCAGATCAGAGCAGGAGGGATTCTCCTTCACAATGGACAACAATCTGTGTTTCACAGACCTCAGTTTGTCTCCAAAAGGAGCCAAGACTTATCACCCCCGACAGGCAGTCAGAGTGCTGGGACACAGGCTGGCACACTGATTCCCCTGATGGCTAAACAGCTGTCGGATGGAACATGTGTCATTTCTAGACTGAGACATGCTGCAGAGAGGAAGGCTTCCTGCTGTTCTCATCTGCCTCACATCTAAGTGTGGCTAGGAATAAACAGGAACAGCCTTGTTTTCCCATCACAGAGAGCACATTTGATATCAGCAATATCAATGTCTTGACTGCTCACTATGGAGGAGATACCACAATGAAATCACCAACTTCCACTGTGCAGAAGTCTTAACTCTGCCTAACAACCGGAGAAGACTGAAGCAGGCACTCACCAATTCCTTTGTGGGGATCAGGAGGACTGGAGACAAACTTCAGGACCTCAGCTCGCTTCTCTCGCAGACCCCAGCGATAGAGGATTTCACCATAGCACTTCTTAAAGTCATCAAACTGCTGAGTATTGGCAGGATCCAGGAGCCTTGAGGAGAAAACAAACTGTGCTCTCAGTCTGGCTGCAGTCCCATTCCTAGTGATGGGAACCAGCTCACATCACTAGAACAATAACAGATTACTTCCCACGTGCTGCTGAAATGCTACGGAGCAACTGCTGGTCTGCGCCCTGTTGTTCTAACAGGAGGACCCCAGGAAGCTCCCATGTATCACATGAAAACCCAGCAGAGTTGATCTGCAGTATACAGCTTCTCCAAGTTATCACTTGAAGGTAAAAGTGTAGGAGCAAGCCTGCTAGTTCCATTCTGGTTTCAAAGCACCAGCAGAGACCTGGCTACAGAGCTCAGGCTGACATACCCTGAAGGCCCCGAGGCACATTACAACCCACACTACAACCCACCTTTTGTTCTTCTCATGCTGGTCCTTCTCTCGCTCCCGATAATCGGGATACATCAGGTTGCTGTAGCGGAACTCATCTGGAGAAGACTCACACCAGGGAGTGGAGCTCTGCTCAGTGTCCTTGTTTGCTGCAGGCATCAGAAGAGTGTAGTGAGTGTAGAACAGAAAGCACAGCCCTCACCAGCACGAGAGGCATATAACACAGCCACATCACTGCTTCTGAGCCCCTCCAGATGTTGCTCTGGCACAGAAAACCAATGCCAACTCTGTGTTTCTGGTGACAGCACAAGGAGGCAGAGAAATGTGAAATGCAGGAATCCCTTTTGCCACTCACTTTCTATTAAAAAACATTCAGGCAATTCCTTGGAGCGTGCTTGGGAATGTTAACCCTGGAATGCCTGGGTTCCTCTTTCCCGGGCAGGGAGGATTCCCATCACCAAAGCTGCAGTTACATAAGGGGGCCTCTGTATGCACTGCCCTGCAGGCAGCACTGCTAACTGCTACAAGACAACATCAGCTCCATTTACAGCCATTTCCCCACTATTTCCCATGTCAAAGATAAGACATTGACAGGCTAAAGCTTTGCTGGCAGCAGGGCTGATGCTGCCCCAAGCCACTTTTCAACTCTGTGACCTGGAGCCCTTAAGAGTGGACTTGTTTTTGACACCTTCACAGATCAGAAGGAAATGTCATTAGTGTCACAGCTACTCAGGCCACCAAAAACCCAGCCTACCCAGTTCCTGCTGCTGCTGCTCTCCCCAGGGACAGGAGAAAGCACAGCATTGCTTTTTTCCCCCCAAATCCTGTGCAATTATCTGGTCGATGACATTGCAAAGCCACACTCAATAACAGCTGGATGATTGTGGTGACTGATAGAGATGCCTGAAGACTGGAGGAAGGCAAATATCACTCAGAATATCTTCAAAAAAAGCAAAAATGATCCGGGGACCTACATGTCAGGCAACCTCACCTCACTCCCTACAAAGCTAATGGAGCACTTAATCCTGGGAACCATTTCTAGACATGTGAAGAATGAGAAAATCATCACAAGTAGTCAGTATGGATTAACCACATGGAGGTCACGTCTGACCAACCTGATAACGTTCTGTGATTAAATGGCTGGCTTTCTAGAGAGCAGTGGCCATTGCCTGCTTTCCTTTCACTCCAGTAAGGCTTCTGACCCTGTCTCCCACACGATCCTCACAGACAAGCTGATGGAACGTGGGATGGATGAGCAGACAGTGAGGTGAATTAAAAACTGGACAAGCAGCTGGGCCCGCAAGGTGGTGATCAGTGGAAGGAAGTCTACTTTGAGGCCAGTAAATAGCACTGTGCCCCAGGGGTCAACACTGGGTCCAGGCCTGTTTAACATCTTCATTAATGGTCTGCACGACGTGGCAGAGAGTTTACTAATGACACGAAACTGTGAGGAGTAGCTGATATGCCAGAGGGTTGTGCTGCCATTCAGAGAGGCATCAGCAGGCTGGGGAAATGGGCCAACAGGAACCTCATGCAGTTCTACAAGGGGAAACGCCAAGTCCCACACCTGGGGAGGAACATCCCCAGGCACCAGTAAGGCTTTATAGTTCCTCAGACATACTCAAAAGCTGCCTGGACACGGTCCTGAGCAACCTGTTTTAGGTGGCTCTGTTTATAGCAACCTGCTCTAAGTACCCTGCATGAACAGGAAGGTGGACTGCATGACCTCCAGAGGACCCTTCCAACCCCAAACATCCTCTGAAACAAAAGACACGAAGACCCTTTCGGTAGCACTGTCTGTTGAAGACTGCAGCCTCACTGCATGGAGATAACAGCCTCAAACAGTACAAAGTACCAGGGCTACGGAATGCTTACATCACCAATCAGCAATGAGGCAGTCACCATGAGCAACTACAGCCAGTCTGGAAGCAAAATGACACAACCTGGTCTCTCTTCACTTGCTGCAGCAGTGGAAGCTCTTGGCCATGGGTTAACCTGTGATCCAGGAGCCTAATTAGGCATGTCTAGAGGGTTTGTAGCAGTTTCTGCAAAGCTCAGGAGACAGAAGGAGCAGAACTGTGGGACCATCAGCGTGGTTACTGTAAACCATGCTAACTTCCAGCCAAAGAGCTGCACAGCATACCCTGTGGGCCAAGGCAGAGAAAGCTGCTCTGGCAGAGTACACCAGCAGTCAGCCAATGCTAGCTAGCTCCCTGCCCTTCCCAACACATGAGCTATCTAAGACCTAGGCCAGAAGGGAGGCAGATTTCTCTACCTACTCCCCAGGTCTCAGTACCTATGCTCCAGCCCCCAGTGCCAAGTCCAGGATCCGACATGCTGGAACAGGAACCAGAAGAAGTAAAGCTGGGCTGTTGAGGGGAAAAAAAAGAAATCATGTCATCTACAGGAGGTATGTTCAAAGGCTTCTGAGGCAAGCAGGAAAGAAATGGCTGTCATACGTATCGACTGTGGGAGGCCAGGTTGGAGGCACGCTGAGGAAAGGGGCCGTAAGAGTTTGGGCACCCCTGTAACCTGGACTGGGCTTCAAACACACTGCACAGCATGGCCAGGGTCTGCACATCGTGGAGCTGCGAGTAATGAGCCAGCCTAGGAAATGAAAAACACCAAGTATGAGATTGGCAGAGTTCAGTGGAAAAAACACTGAGACTCCAAGGCAAATAATTTCAAGCCTGCTGCATAAATCAATTCAGGACACATTACTGCCCACGGGAGGCATGTGCATTCTGCTGTCTTTTCTATCACGCCTTTCAGGAACCAAGCCCTCCCCCTGAAAACACTCTTGGCCTAACAGGTGGGAGAAAGATGGGGAGGAACTCTGGGAATCCAGCAATGCTTGTGGCCTCACTATCCCAGCTCTGTGCAGCTTCAGGAACAAGGTCCACAGAACTTGTGGATATAAAGCTGGGGCCACTAAACTCATCCCTTGCTTGCACTACTTTTTTTTTTTTTTTTTTTTTATGAGAGCCTCTGTATGCAATCATCCTGCATCCAGATCACAAGGCAAATCTTCACTGCAGGTCTTCTGGATTGCTATGAAGTTTCTGAAGACTGAGAGCAACAAAGAACTACCCATGCTCCCCTTTCACTGCTGCTGCACAGCAGGAAAGAGCTAGGTCAAGCAACTGCATAGTACAACGCACAAACTGTGTCTTCAAATGGGATAGATCAACAGATAATGTTAATTACTAATCATTCTCCCTACTGAACAGATTCACTGGCAGGAAGACTTGTGCGGCTAACACTTGGCTTCGAGACCAGTAAATTAATTCCCACTAATGCTGCATGGCAACAGTGAATTTGAAAGTGAATCAAGCAGCTGCACCCACACAACCATTTAGGAGGCGGGGAGCAGAAAACCAGAATTTTTATTTGTAAGTCAGGCGTTGTGGGCACACGGGAAAGCAAAGTTTCAACTGCACCTGAGCTATTGCTCACTGTCAGTCCAGGGACTCCCGGATGCCTGATGGGAGGCCAGATGCTGCCCCCTGCACGTCATAAATGCACTTGCACAAAGATACCACACAACATATACAGGCTCCCCGTCTCATGAAAGGCTCCCCCTGCTTCAGCAACCACTCCCATCCCTCCCTAGCATTCAGAGACCTACAAGGACTCCAGTAATTGACGTCCAAATGGATGCTGTGCCCAAGGTATCTCCAGATCTGGGTCAGACTTCGGTCCAAGACAAAGATCAGTGGCTACCATAGCCAGTGACCAAACCTGGCAGACAGGAAGGAAAAGCATCAAAGTTACAATTAGAAACAGGCAGACTCCTGGGGGATAGGTGTGCACAGATTCACTCGCAGATAAATAATAATGGATTTCAACAAAACAAAACAAAACTACCAAGAGGGAGCAGTTCTAGCCTCAGTGTGACAAAGTGTATGAAGAGCAAAAAACGGATGCTTTTGCTTTGGAGTTGGGTTAAACCATAGCTTAATTCTTCTTCAAAGTTCAACAGCAGAGTTTAAACAGACCTATTAGCTCATTTACATTCACAAACCTCAGACGGGTTTCAATTTGATACAATTCTTGGGTTCAGAGACATCTCATGGCAGAAAGATTATCAGTGAAACTTTATTTGCATGAAAGGTATCCTCTGATGAGCTGCGTTACTGCACACACAGCTGAGTATGGACAGATGGACAGTTGGCCATTCCTATTCCAATGGGTTACCTCTTACACATGCCAGCTTTCTCCTTCATTTATCTCCCTTTTCTCTGAAAATCTTTTCCATCTTTTCAGTCTGCATCCCACTGATTGTGTACAACTGAATCAAAGCTAAGACTGTTTTTCCTGCTGCACCTTTTTAAAATGGAGCAATTAGAACACGATATTCCAGGGAAAAACAAAGTTCTGAGTTTGGCACAAAAGGAAAAAAAGAGCAGAAAAATAAAGTGAGCACCATGCTGGAATGACCAGATATCAGAGAAGGGACAACTACAGCTGCAAACACAGAAAAGCTGGGGAGAAAACACAAGTGCTGCAAGTACCCAGAGGAACAGGCAAACGGAAGAGAAAGAAACAGCAGAGAAACTGAAACAAGGACAGGCCTGAGTGTGAAAAACTACAGAAAGGAACCTGGAAAACATCATTATAACATACTGCTGCAGAGCATATCTTATATGTGACTCCATCACTCAAGCCTCCACATTTTTAATGAGCAAGGCAAGCTACAATACAGGCTGGAGTTACACAGGCAGGGAATAATGAGCAAGAAACAGAGATATCAGAGGGATCCTGCTGAAGTTGTCCTACCCAAGCTCCTGTACTCCAGGTAAACCAGTCTGCAAAATGAGGCACAGAGGGAAATGAGACCTACCTTCTTCCTGTAGGTGTGGCAGAACCACGAAGCTAACAATCTAAGACAACAGCTTGAGGTGGCTCCTGCAGGCTGCTCCCTGCACAGTGCTAGGGGGAGCCAAATGCTCAGCAGAGGGGCACAGGCTCCTCTGGCAGTGCCAGGCTGCTCCCAGTCCTGACAAATGTTCTGCCTGTTGCTATGGACTAATTACACGGCAAGGCACAAGCCAAAGCAGTTATCCTTCCCCTGCTGCTAGCTGAATGCAAGTGGATAGCCCCATTCTAGGGCTGGGTCTCTGAATGCAGACTTTTCTTGGGGAGACCTGGCTGCAGTTAGCACACAGCAGCGGTGCAGATTAATGTTGAGCTAATTACAACAGGAAGTATTACACAAGACAAAGCCATCGATCAAATGCTAACAGCAGCTTGGCAACTTTATGCAGTTACTTCCTCTGCAGACTCAAATGCAGACTGCATTCCTAGCTCTGCCTGCAGGAATTGCCTGAAAAATGTGCTTCACCCTATTTGGCAACAAGCACGCAACAACCTGCTTTTGCAGCCCAGTGAGGAGACCTCTCACTGCCAAAACCAAGGAGGTACAGAGCACCTCTGGAGCTGTCTCACACTCCGGAGTTCATCCGCCATTTCAGACACACTGGAACAAGTGCTGAGGTCAGCTGACTGTCCAGGTATCAAGGCAACAGCACAAGCCATTTAAGCATGCTGGGAAAGAGGTCTGATTCAGTGTAATACCTGTACAAGATCCCTCCGTCCGACAGCCATGGCTGAGGCAGCATTCTTCTGGCAAGTCTCCTGGATATTATTTACATTCAGTCTGAAAAGAAGAAAGACAGATCAGCTTTTTGGTTGGCATGCTATTTGTGAAGGCAGGGAGGAATGGGAAAGACGTGGTACTGATAATAGTAAGTAGCCCAGAACTTGCTGATCACTGTGAGCCTACAAGCATGACGGGATCTCATCTGGTCCCCCTGTGTTATTCAGGGATCACTGCCATTCTTCTGGCAACTCCCACTATTCATCTTCCCTAATACACTGCTTATTGCATCAAGTCCAGCTCCAAACTTGCTTGGTCCTAAGATGCACCACTTCCATGGGGATGCTGGATCCAACTTGTGCCAACACCACCAAGCCAAGAATCATTCCTGTCCCTAGGATCCATCAGTGATGCAGTTCTGTCTCCATCCAGTCTGTTGATCTGTTCTACTTGGCTGGAAAAAATTACCCACAGACAAGCAAGTTTCTGAGCTGGGTGACACACCCCTTGTAGAGTCTCTAAGCGCATGACAAGGGGCAGGGGGAGCCTGAGGAAACCAAGTGGGCTTTCCCATTCATCATCAGAAAGGCTCTTCAGACGCTTGACATTTTTTACAAGTGAGATATCCAGAGAAGAAAGATCCATCAGGTCTTTTCAAATAACATTTTTTTTAATAACGTACAGAGAAGAAAGTCTTTCTCCTCCTCGCTATCCCTTAAGAAGGGCAGCCTGCTCCTTCCCTGAATTTGTACCACTAACCTCTCTCTCTGGCTGACAAAAGCCTGAGCCTGAAAGAGTTGTAGTGATGGTGCTACATCATGCTACATGATTATACCACTACATATTTCTTCCATTGCATTTCAGATGAAAGAAAACAAGTCTCTTCTCACAGACAGAGCAACACTATAAAAAAAAGTAGAAAGACAAGAGAGAAGGAAGACAGTGCAGCAATATTCAAATGTTCGAAGGACGAAAGCACAGCAGTGCCAAAGACAGCTGCTTTCCTTTAAGAAAGGGTGCCAGCCTGTACTCACATGTAGAGCTCTCCCAGCAGCTTGTGCACAGGCAGCAAGCAGGAAATATCTTGTATAATAACTTTCCCAGCAGCTTTGATGGGTCGGTTGTTGGCATCTGTCCCCTCCCGTTTGCTTTTCCACCTCCTTGACTTCTGCAGAACAAATGGCAGCGTGTTACTGGGGAGCAGGACAGCAACCTTCATGGGCCAGGGAACAAAGCACTAGGGTCAGGAATAATGCAAGCAGCACCCAAACCCGCCTTTCAGAAGGCTCTGTGTCACCCTGGAAAACATCCATGACATGCCCAGGAGAACAAGCATCTCCATCTGTAGGAAGTGAAAAGCAGGTCAAGGCAACGAGCTCAAGGTCAAACTCACTCAAAAAGTATTTAGTGAGTTCTCCAGTGAAAGCCAATAAGAGAACAAATCAGCATCGGGGTGCCAATCAGACCCGGGGAGGTTTGGCAGGATATGGTTCAATTAGCACTCTTGTTAGAGGTCTGGTCTGGGAAGCCTTGCACACAGACCACCGCTGGCTTCGGCCAACGCTCAGCACAGAGACAAGCAGGAGCCAGCTTCTGTTTGCCCTTGGCTGCAGGCAGGGCCGACAGCTCCAGACTCTCCTTTGGTCTGAGACCACCTCTCCTGCTTTATCAAGAGCTTCAAACAAATGGCGGATGATAAAGCAGGACCCACGTTTTCCTAGCAAGGATCCTCAGCTACCATGCTGACAGCTGGCTCAGGACATACAGCTGGGGGGGAAAAGGAAGGAGAGAAATCGACACAAAGGAAAAAAACAGGGAGCCAAGATCCCAGATACTCCCCATAACAGACACAGCGGCCACCTTCGTGCCAAGCTGCGTAACGCTGCCTCGGCCACGTGACAGCCTGTGCAGTATTGGGCAGCTCCTTGCTGCAGGAGGGCAGTGAGGAGGGCTGAGGACGTGCAGCGCAGGCAAGCAAAGGCTATAGAGGATCTCTAGGAGGAAGTGCTGGCTGCTACGAGCAGCAGTGGGTGCTTTGCAGTGCTGTGAGCTCCCTCACTGACACGCTCCTATCCAGAAGTGTTCCCACGTCACACGGAGCTGCAGAGGCTCTGCTGAGCACAGCCAGAGCTAACAGTCCCTCTGTCCTGCTGTACCAGTGGCTCTGCAAGGCAGGCAGGGCTCACCCAGGTACATCAGTGCTCCTACAGAGCAGACTGGGCTGTTGGAAGGACAGGACCAGGGCCTTTTTCACTGCTTGCGCTCTCACACGAGTGGCCGAGGCCCAAAGGCTCGAGCACAGGTTTGGCAGTAAGTGAAGGAGGCAATTCAGATTCAAAGGAAGTGAAGGTGGACCTGTCTGCCCTCGTGACAGATCCGCACCTGCTCCCCTGATCTTCCACTGCTCCCCAGAGCAAAGAGGAGCGAGCACACACACTGCCCAACATCCAGAGGTGCCAAATGGAAACAGCTGTCAGCATTCAACACTTTGGGAATTGGACAGGTAGGGCCTAATTCTCAGCTACAGCCCTTCAAGCTCTAATCCATTGCAACAATTTGCTTTCAGTTTTTATCTCATCTATCGCTCAAATTGAGGACTATGCAGTGGAAGGTGGCTACAGGATGGGAAATCAACCTCTCCTCAAACCATCAGCTCCCAGCCAAGGACCTGCCTGGACCAGCTCTGGCCCTCACCATTGGGCACAACACCTTCTTCTGATAACACCTAAAAGCATCACTACCCTTTCTGTGCTGAAAGATGTGGACTGTATGACGACAAGGCTTTCAAACCACTGCAGTGCCTGTCCCTACTTCCTCGTCTGCAGGACGAGATGCGGCAAGGAGTTGCTGATGCTGCCAAAACCAACACTGGAGCAAAAGCTTAGGAGCCCCAGAGCGAGGACGTACCACCAGGGCAGGAGTGCAGGCAGTACTCATCAAAAGCAGTCCCTTGTGCCACATCTGAATGCAGACTTGCAGGCACAGAGCCACGCTGTGCAGGTCTAGAGCTCAGCAGGAAATTTGGGGAGCAGCTTGCCACCTCCTGAGCATCTGCAAGTCGCAGCGGATGGAGCGTTCCCCCTGCGCTGTTACTGACAACAGCTCGACCTGCTCCTGCCCCCTGCACGAGCCAGCTGAAGAAGCCTCCCAACAGGTATTGCAAAGACCAGAAACATGGACAACACATACCACTTTGCACAGGCAATTCAGCTTTTTTTTTTTTTTTTTTTTGAGTATGACAACAAATGAGGATGAGCATGGAAAAGAGATCCCATGAATGGCTTCCACTGCTTGCTGTTAGCATACCACCAGACAAATGAAGACACTAAATGCATCAGAGGCCCACGAAAGCCTGAACTCATAAAGTCCTCCTGCTTTTTTCCTCCTAGCTCTGCCTGGTTACTGGCCAACAGGGAAGCCCTAATCCTCTACTGGTGTGGCTCCAGCAGCAGGGTTGGCCCATGACCACATGCCCTGCCAGCACCACTGCTTCCTGCCCCTTGAACTGTGATAAAAGAAAATCATAAAATTAAGGGTACAGTCACAGTTTCACATGTCACGCTTTTTCAAAATTGGGGTAGGCCTCTGCAGCTCAAAGGGGCTCAAAGACAAGGAGAGCTCTAGCTAGCTCAGGTCTGGCTGCCCAAGGTCCACCACAAGGTTCTCTCTTCCTTCTATTCCAAGCCTGCTCCAGTGAGAATCTTCCACTGTGATGATAGGCAAGGCTCACGGGCATCAGGGTGGAACAGGAGACACGGCTCTTTCCAGGGGCTGGAGCACAGGTGACAGAGGGGAGCAGCAAACACAACGGTTGGAGCAGAAGCAAATCAGCATGCACACACCAAACTAACACTAAGGGCAAAGACACAGGCCTTCTGCACTGCCCCAGCACTACTATCTGCAACCTAGAGTCCGGGCCAGGGTGAACTGCATCTACCCACCTGCTCCTGAGAGCTTAAGGAAAGGAAGAAAAGAAAGAAAATAGCTGTGGCGGTAGCAAATTAAGGCTCATCAGCTCCTCGGAGCACCAGAAGGAAAGAAACCAGAGCATTTACGACAATCATGGGGTTGGAGGTGACAGCGGGGAACAGCACTGAACGATGACTAAAAAAGCCAGCCTGCACCTGCACTACCATACCCAAGGCTGTAATTTGCTGCAGTCTGAGGTGATAACGATGGCAGTAAATGGGTTACATGTAGAAACAGACAGCCCAAGAATAAGCCACCAACTGCTTCGTAGCAACCACCATCACTGCATACTCAGCAGAAGTAGGTACAAAGTGCTGCGTGCCTGCTTGGAAAGGATGCTGGGCTGTGGGGTGTGTGTGCCTGCAGGTCCTGCTGAGGCAGGCAGCGCTGGAAGTTAACTTTGTGAAATGCAGAGTGCCTGGTTCACATCAGCGTATGCAAAACCTCAGTTTGTAGTACAAGCTGGCATTAGCAGGGCAAAGGGAAAGGTTGTGGACGAAAGAGAAGAGGCTCAACACCAAAGATTAAGCTGCATTAAGGTATTTAGAAAATAAAGAGTTAAACAAGTTCAAAGTCAGGTTCAAGCTGCTTCTAAGAACTTATCTTTTAAATAAAGTTTTAAAATCGCTGCTCCCCTGCAGGTTCCTTTATTCTGAACAACTGCCTGCAGATTAACTCCTGGTGCAGGTCGTGCAGCACTGCCTGGATTTTTATCTCCAAAGAATCCACATTTATGGCTCACAGCATCTCCCGCAGCACCAGGCACATCCCCAGAGGGGCCAAAAATCAATGTCTCACAGCAGGTGTGTTTCTTTTTCTTCCATATATCTTCACCTTTGGCACCGTTGTCCACTCAGGAGAGCGTGATGAGGCTTTTCCAATGGTTATCCACTAATGCAATCAGTATGCCAAGACTTTAACTGTCCCACATACCCTATAAATAAGTGCGTTGCACAAAAAGATAACTTCATCACATCAGCACTTGCTCTTCCTTCCACGCTGGTGGTAAGCAAATTCAAGTGAGGTCCTTTGTGGACCATGATTTATTACACCAAAATCTGGCAAGCTCTTGCCTGGTTTTCTCTCAATTAGTCAATTCCTACCAAATGAAGAACCTCATATCTTGCCTCCAGCACTCACATTTAGTTAGCCCTTCACAAAAAGCCTCCGAGTCAAGTAAATTTCTTCTGGTTTCTCTCACCTATTATTTGCCAGTATAGACTCAGCGTTGTTGTAATTAGGAAGGCTCGATCCTATTATACCAAGTTAAATTAGGTGTTACGGGATTCTATTTTATTCCCTGCTGTCTTGAAGAGATAGCATGAAGGCAAACAGCTGTGAAAAACAGTTGTTCACACAGACCTAAAGAAATTATCTTTAAATCGAACTGGAGTCTTCTAGGCTTTGCCTATGCTTGGCAGTTAACTGATGAAATAGTAATTGCCCAAATTCACAGTGCAGCTTGAGCAACGCTGATACTATCAAGAAGCTCACATGAATGATGTTCAAGCCTTAGAGACAAGTGGACTAAAGGAAAGTGACTTGTCAAAACAGTCATGGAAGGGCAGGTGCCAGGAGGAGGGAGCACCCGCCAATGTTGCACCTCAGCTGAATACAGAGCAGTGCAATTCTAAGCGCTGAAGATGATCATGAATTAAGGAGAAATCCTACTTATTGCTCCAGGAAATAAGGCATTTCTGGTGCAATGCACACGCTTGTTTTAATGAGATGACAGATCGTTATCAGCAGCTCAACCGGTTTGCTTCTTCCACAGCTCTTAAGCAATGCCATGCCAGCAGCTTGCTGCTCTTTAATATTATTTTCCAGCAACTCCTCCCTCTCCAGAAGGGCTTCGTCTTTTCCAGAGATGAGGTGTTCTCATGTCAGCCTCATCAGTTACCTGATGACGCATAATAATAATCACTCAACTCCTCTGCAGTGCGCTCTTCTTAGTGCACGCTTCTTAGAGGTTGATCCTTTCTTAAACTTCAAATTACCCTTTGGCATCCTTTCCTGACTGCAAGGCCAGGTGACACAGGCATGTTATTATATATAAGGCAGTGTTTGTACCCTTTGAGTTCGTGTCTGCTCCTGCCCACTTACACATGCACTTACTGCTCCTGAAGCCCTAGGCCCTGTGTGGAGCGCAGGTCCCCCACCTCTGTGCAGGTTACTCAAAGGCAGGCAGGTGGCATTTTATTCTTGGGCCCTTGGGCAGAAGACAGGGTTGTATCAAGGACAGTATTAGCACAGCGCACAGTACCGGGAAGTCGTTAATTGCTTGTATGGACCAACGCCGCCGGGCAGAGCGAGGAGACATCTGCATGTGAAAACGTTATACCCAGGAAAAGGGAAGAGAGACACCAAGAAAATTAAAGACAAAGGTAAATAAACCAAAATGAAAAGCGCTCTGAACCAGCAGAGTAAAAGACACCGTTCCCCATGGTTCTGTTACACAATGGCAGTTGCAAAACAAGGTCTCCACTTTCATCCATGCACAGTTGTGCTGTATGTTACCCACAGACCTGGCAAAGTGTGGGCTGCTCTACGGAAGGACTGCAGCGACCTCAAATCTGAGCAGTCTTCCAATGGAATTGTACTGCTGCAACAAGCATCATGGCCTTGTTCATACCATGCACTGACAGCAGGGGAGAGAACAATCTCACAGTACCCCATGTGAGAGGCTCCTACTCTAACCAGTTTTCCTCCCTTTCAGATAAAGAAGGAGGTGGCTAAGTGCTGCCTCAGCTGCATTTAACATTTTTAACACAGCTGTCTGGCACAGAAATCTGCAGCAAGCTCAATAAAAGCTCCTGTTTCCTCAGACATCCCTTTAACATCCTGCATCCTCCAGGACTTCTTCCACTGGAACCTGCTGCAGCTGTTCATTTTCATTTCGAAAGCAATAAAAGGCAAATGTCAGGATATTAAAGGGATGTAGAGACCCCGCTGGCCGGCAGGGCAATGTGGAAATTGCCATTATGGGCTGAGGAATTCATTCAGGTTGAGCGAGCAATCAAGTTCACTGATTGACTATGCAGAACAGCTCCAAAGTAGGCTTTCATTAGGAACCTGCAGGCATTTCATTAAGTACTCCACGCAGTACTGTAACAATAAACTGAATCTCTCCAAGCATATTATTCTGCACTCACTCGGAAAAAAAATATTTGTCATACCTCTGTGAGAATCAGCACAATATAAAGGGGAAGAAGAGGGTTATTTGTGTTGTGGGCAAGGTACTTGGCATTTATTTTCAGCTGCTAATAGGCAGTGCGCATCACCAGGCATGCCCAGGCTTCTGCCTTCCCTTGTAGCTCACCAGTGGGAGAAGCATGCAGCCAGGGCACTGCTGATGGACTGCTGCATTATGACTATTGTTTTTTGGAGGAGCGTGCATGTGTGGATAAAAAGTGGAAAGATATGCTTGTGTACAGACACACATCTGTAAAGGAGCACAGGAAGGCTCAGTGCCTGGGGTAGCTGTGCTATGTTTACTGAGGAGATCTCTGCTGCGTTCAGCATCTCCTCTGCCCTTATGGGAACGTGACACATTCCCCACCTAGCAACACACAAATTCCATTTAGTTGTTAATGGCAGCAATGCTAGTGCATCGCTACATGGGATTTAAGTTTAAATACTTGGTCATTTCTGAGAAATTCATTTTTGGGGATGAAGTTATAGAACTTTTGATTTGGTTTACCACCAAATTCCAATTTTTTATTTAATGGAAATATAAAATTTCAGAGCAAGGAGCTAATGAGATTCAGACCCTGGGGTTTTTATGCCTTAAAATCCTCACAGTTAAACATCAAAAGTATTTAGCACTGATCTACAAAGGCTAGGAACAGCTCTTCAGCTCCTGAAGAGCCAGAAAACCTCTGCTGAAGGGAGATGGAGGCTTTTTAGAACTATCTCATTTGCAAAACACTTTTGCTAACTCCCTTCTAAAGTTCTTACACTTCTTCCAACCCAGGATGCAAGGACAGAGCTTAGCATGGGGCTAGAGAACAGGCATTTATTTCCCTGGGTTTCGGGGGACATGCCTACACATACACTTTGTTCTCTAGATTTTCTCCCCATCCTGACAAAAATCTTGTCACCACTGCCACACGGACTGGCAATGGTGTGGGTCACATGAAATTGCACCAAGCTGCTTCCACGTTATTTTTAGCCTTGTCTGTCATCTTAGAGAGCTGTGTGTCAGAGACGAGCACACTGCAGAGGACAGAAGTAGCACTTTAAATAAACTCTCCTGCACAGACCAGGAAAGGTTGTAACTTCTGTATCAGGCAGTGTTGTTTTCTCATCAAAAGAAGTTTGTGTGGGGAAAAAAAATAACAGAATGTGGGCTCCAAGAGTCTCCTGGGGTCTGAATGAAAGCAAAACCTGCGATGGGGACAGAGGCTCTCCCCATGGCTGACAGGTGTAACCACTAACTGGTTTCACATAAGCAGGACACAATCCCAGAAGGGTTGGCTGTGACATTTGGGACTCCTAAAGAAAATCTAGACTTCTTGCAGCACCAAGAAAGGATGAAAGCTCAAGGCTCTGAATTTTCCTCTGCTCCTGGGACAGGAGCTCCTGAGCTCCAGTGCAGCAGAGTGCTGTGGAGCACTTGGCTTTCTCTGGGTACCTGGAAGCTCTCCTTCACTGCCACAGAAATGTGCCCACAAAACAGACAGTGACAAACTGCTGGAATGCCCCGAATTCTCAGGCTCTCAGTGAAAGCTTACTATATTTTTGTAAGCCACACCACTCCCTGCTGAAGCTCAGGGAGTTTATTTCAGAGCACACTGCACGGCTGATTACTCCCACAGCATCTGCTCTTCTGCCCAATGTCCTCATGGCAAATCAGGCCATCTAATACTTCAGAACTACCCTACAGTTTTCCAACTGCCCTACTGCACCCCGTGTGTCCTGTAAGGAAACAATCCCCACTCTTCCCCAAAGCTCTGCTTGTGAACAGCAGTCATACAAGGCCTATGTCTAAAATAGAGGTACAGGTATTAGAAGATCTTTGGAGAATCATGAAGGGACATTTTTTGTTTAAAATAGTCCAAAGGGGCACACATCCCTGAAAGAGACACCTGTAACAGAAATAACTCAAATATACCCCATAATCCAGGAGAGACTGTCAGTAAGCTTCACAGATCCCCAGCCCCTTGCAGCTATACCCATCGAGGGTGCAGAGAAAAGCAGAGTGGCCTACAGTGTACTTAGATGGAGACTAAATCTTCTCAAATGTGAGATTTTAACCGCATATAATGCAAAGGGAGGCAGTGTACTGAAGGAAGCTGTAATGGTGAGTCTTGAGAGATCTCAAAATAAGCAAGTCAAATGCTAAAGAGGATCAGCAAAGAAGTTACTAACAGTAGATAAATCCATGCGACATTTTTACAGAGCTGCTTGTAAAAGATGCCTTCCTCAGAGGAATGTGAAACTACTGTTACCAGCAATGCTCACAGCCATAAGAAAAGAATACAAGTCAAAAGCTGAAGTACTGGGAAAGGCTTTTTGGCATGGTACTTACCCTCTCTTTGTAGTAGAAGGAGCTAATGGAGACCTGCTCCTTCTCACTGCGTGTAGGACTCCCGCTGTACAAACGCAGATTGCCTGGAGTCTCTGTACGGATCTTCATCGGAGTAATGAGGCCACTATGGTAAGCTGATAAAGCTGACAGGGACCTAGGAACAAGAGAACATGCTTTCAGGAGCTTACATCCATTAAAACGTCTTGAAGGCTCAGACAAACAACTCCACTAACCCAAGCTGTGAGTAGCATTTTAGGTGTGCTGAGAGAAGGGGTCTGGGACCTATGTGACCAGGCTGTGCCACGCAGGCACAGCTGACACAGTACTTCCTGAGGGCCAACAGCTCCAGCACAGGATCTGCCTCTCTGCCCACATGGCAATGTAACATCTTAAAAGTGATGCAGGGAACTCACCGGGGTGTGGGCTCTGTTGGGGACACTGCACGGTGCATTGTCATGGGTCTCGTGAAATACACCAGGTACCCTGCAGAGACAGGACACAGAATAAAGATTATGCCAGGAGGAACAGACTGCCCAGCGGTGGCATTAAGGGCCTAGAGGCCTATCCATAACCCTGAATGCTTCTAAATAGAGTTTTCTCAACCCAAATCTACCTCTTTCAAATGCTTGAAAGCACGTTTTGTTGCCTTAAAAGCACCAACACAAGTGGTTCACAGGTGTTGGAGAAAAGGCAGTAGAAGGAACTAATACATACTTTTGTGCTTTACCTCTTCACCAGAATTGTCAAGCATTCTGATACTCCAGATGCAAGTGAGGACATTAACATGCAAAGAACTCACAAGAGCTGGTAAATCTCTTTAAAAGGACAACCCACGCCATCTGACACTACCTCCAAAGTGCTCCCACAAGCTTTATTCCATTTGCTACTATTTCAAGTGTCCTCAGCCACTCACCCTGGTGCAAGAGTTTTGAAACAGAGCAGGTTTCACTCAGTCTGTTCAATGCAGCGTTACTGTTTTACTTATGCTTGGAATTCAGTGAAATGTGTATGAAAAAAAGCTTTCAAAACATGCCCAAATTGAGTCAGTAACAAGAATAACCTTTAACAAAGGGTAAGTTCAACCCAAAGTTACAGGAATTTTGTGAAGACCCAGGAGCCAGAGTACATCCAGCAATTTGATGTGGGTAGGAGGGAACTGTGGAAAGATAAAAGCTACTCCCAGTCCTCTGGAAAAAGAAGAGATGCATCAGTGCCTTGGCATGCCTTATGCCAATGGCCATCTCTTCAATCACTCCTGGATTTCCAGATCTGTATCCTAAAATCCCACATGAAACACCAACTGCAAGTAGTTACTAACTAGGCCCATTATCTGTAAATTTATCACAACACAGCTGCATTAGAAGCATTTAATACTCCTTGAATGGCAGCAACCGAAGCCTTGTCTTGTTCAGATGCACCTGTTCGCCAAGATGTTAACAGTGCCCTTTTCCTGATGGCTGTCATTGTATCAGTGATGAGGCTAACCTGCACCACAGAACCGGGCTCCAGAGGTCCGTGGAAATGGGATGTTCGAGTCCTGGTAGGAGCCATAGGCATTGGAGACCCGGGCAAAGGTGGGCAGGGGGGTCGTCACGGAGTTGGACAGAGCATAGGGGTTGCTGGATGTGCTGTCCTCTTGGTTCTGAAACAGAAGTTAGACAAGGTCATGCTCCTGCTGCCACATGGAGGAATCCCAGCTGGAGCACTGGGAATCCTCGTGCCAAGCAGCCTCACACAGACATCTGCCTCTCCTTTGAGTCAAAGCAGATCAAGAACAGAGTACAGCTACCACTTTGGCTCTGAAAGCATTTGCAAGCATGCATACCTTTGAGCCAAGTGCTCCTCTGCACTGCTGTTTGTATGGAGAGCTCTCCCCCACCACGGCTGTGTTGAAATGCAGAGCTCAACTAGGGTGGAAACAGTGGTCTTGAGGGAAAACTATATAGGAAATCTGACCTTCAGATCTGACTCCCAATAGCAAAACATAAAGCTGAGAAAAGCCCGGTACCTCAATGAAGCCAGTAAGACAAAGTCACCTTAAAGATGATTATCTTGACACCCCATGCAAACGTGAGGGTGTCAAATGCAAGCTGGGCATCTTGAAGCGAGGAAGGCAGATGCTGAAAGTCTGGGAGATCTCAGGTCTGCCCTGAGAAATTTTGGCAGAAATTTGCATCGAATTGGAAAAGATACAGCTCAGGTCTAAAGGAATTCTATAAACGCACAGCATCTGATTCAAATTTTCCATACAAGGGTGAAAGCTCTCACAACAGTATTGCTGAAACCAAACAGAAATATGGAGAAATTTCTTCCAATGTGGAGAAAATTTAAAAAATTAAACAAAAAAACACCACCAACAAAGAAAGATCCCTTGTTCATGATGAATAAACAAAACCTCTTGAAAAAGAAACCTGAGAAGACTCTCATCTTTTTCTGAATGCTAAAAACACACATTACAGTACACTGCACCCACACACAGACCTATTACCTGACACCAGAATGCTGAGTAGGTATCCCAGATCTCTCAGCTAAGGGCAGAGTGGGACTTGCATTTATTTGTGGTATCAACCCTATATAACCTTTGCACAAGGCTTTAGAAAAAAACAGACTTTCACAGCTTTATTCAAAGGAAGAAAACAAAGGCCCTCTGGTTGGCACGATCTTTGAATAGAACTGAGAAGGTAAAGACATCTGCCACTGCCTTTCAGACAAGAATGAATTCATCACCTCCCTGACATCTCTTATTTTCTTCTACAGCTGATATCCATGCCCTGCTGGTTGCTCAGATCTGCTCAGAGCTGGAAAGCTACCATGCTCCACTGTGATGCTGCAACCAACAGTAACTCCTGCTAACCTAATTATTAGTGAGCACCCTCACAACAGCAGACCTTCAGGGCCTGATCATCCAACTCAGTTTTCTTCAGCATTAACCACAAGAACTTACACAAATCTATCAGCCAGTCACAGGGGTCTATTTACATGCCTAATGAGGCCAGACTCTCAGTGCAGAGTCAGAAGCGTGGGATGCGAGAGAAGACAACAAAGTAGGGCAGAAAGCCCATGGAATTCTCCATACCACGACAGACTCCAGCCAGGAGACGAGCTGACGCAGGCAGGGCTCCAGGCAGCTCTGGTTCCGCTTCACTTTCTGCAGAGAAGTGTCTTTCAGTATCTGGAATACATGCAAGATACAGCTTGAGTCATGGTTATATCCGCACCTTCCCACATCCTTTTTTGTCTGCAGAGCAGCAAAGTTGCCAGGCTCATGAGATTGCAGGGCCAGAGACATCCCAGAACACCCACTGGAGCCACATCTACCCACTGATGCACTGTCTGCTTCAAGGAAAGAATGACTGAGCTTTGATCAGAGCACTGAGGGTTCACCAAAGTTCAGCACACTGATCCAGGATTTGAGCTTCTGTATTACTGTACCTCATAACATTCCATACCAGTTTGTAGCAAACTGGATCCAGCTTTTTCAAGAAGGAACCCAAACAGATCCATCTGCCTTATGGATAAGCTTAGGCCTAAGCCTGAGGCTACTTTGCTCCAAGGCAGCCATTTCAGCCCTAACACATAACACTGTTAGACACAGGAGGACCAAAGCATTGAAGACTGAGGCACTCATGCACTTTGAAATCCCAGGTTCTTGCTTCCTCCCCTTAAAGAACAACTTCTCATCATTCCTTTCCATTCAAACACACACCATTCCCAATGGTCTGCAGTCAAATATTAAAAAAAAAATATCTCACCTCTCCAAGGAAGTCACAAATTACCTGTGATCCTCCACTCTGCTTTGAGCAAAACACTACAAAATGCAGGGAAAACAAGCCCAAAGCCAGCAACTCTTTATGTCACTACCTCTATCTGCCTTACATTAGGAAATAGCCTAGCACTTCATCTTTTCTTTGTGGTCCAAAGGTAAAATAAGTCTGCTTTCCTAGTGCTCTTACAGGAGTGCAGCCCTCTCTCTCTCTCTCTAAGGGACAGCAGCCCTTGCTGTCAGGGAAGGGATTTCAGCAGCAATAGGACTTCCTGCATCAATTGATCGAACACTTGATCTGGAATTAATGGGCTCTGCGCAAAATCTTAAAACAGCTTGTAGAGGTGAGCAGGAAGCAACATGCCAGCTCAGAAATACTGCCATTCTGCAAATGGATTCTTTGCTGGTCATTTTGTCCATTATGAGACTTGGGGCAGCTGTTCTAGAAGGATGCTAGGGATCCTCAGGCAATATACGTGACACACATAGCAAGTTGCAGAGAAAAACGTGCTCAAAATGCATCGGTGGGGAAAAGGAAATACTATGCTGCAAGGCCAACAAATACCTCATCCTACAGGCTTCAGAATACATTAGTTCAAACAGCAGTCTGTGGTATATCTTCAGCAAGGTCTGACTGTGTCAGAAGTCTAGACACCAGGTGTTGAGCACGTGTCTAGTTGTAGGACCACGTACCTTCAGCAGCTTGGCTTTCATGGAGGCAGTGATGGAGGTCGGGTTGATGAACTGGAAGGATGGTGCAGCATTATTGGGATACTGGACAGGGAACATCACCAGCATTCTGACTCGGTGGTTGCCACAGTGCACTGACACTGTGCAGCTACGATTCACCGCATCCATCTGTGTGAGGAAAAGCAATTGCCTTGCATTCAGATCTCCAAAGACCTTTTAACTTGCAGTAGCTTCAATTCATGCTGAGGGGCTGATTCCCCTGCACACCCATAAGACAAAGTCGTGCTGTTGTCACGGGCAATGAACACAGCAACAGCAAAAAACCCAGGGAACAGCTTTCAACAGCAGACTGCCAGTCCAGCAGCATCTGGAGACTCCAGCCAGCCCAGGCTGCAGCAGGAATCAGGCAGCTCCCAACAGCTCCACCCCCCTGCCCTTGGCCACAGAGCACTTCAGATCCAGTGCAGCAATAACAGGCACCATCTAAGACCATATAGGACTCTCAGGAAGGTATCTGAAAATGTGAAACCACAGTGGTGGGGAAAGATAACAGGCAGCAGCCCCAAAGCCTGTCATTCCAGCACTGCACTGGTCCTTCAGTCAGCTTCCACGCACAGAAGAGGCTCTGCTGTGAAAAGGAGATGCCAAAACTGAGGGCCAGAGTGTAGGACAGTGAGGGCTGATCTGACTGAGTTCAGAAACAGCTGAAATGAGATCAGCTGCACGTACTGGAACAAGCCACTTTGCAGTTTTGGCAGAAGAAAAACACAGTCCAGCCTTCTTGGGGCCAGTGCCAGCATAGTTACTATGCTGAAATATCTCTCTCGCTCCCAGTGTTTGCGATTATCCTATTTTCTACTACCCATGGCCAAAAGGATCTCTACAGCTCAAAATAAACCTTGCTTATAGGCAGCAATCACTGCAGCAAGAGAGTTCCCTTCAGAAGGCTCTGATGAGCCAGCTTGCCCATATGCCCTTTTAGCCAAGTAGTGAAAGGAAACTACCTCCACGTTGACATTTCGGATCTGCACGTTGATCAGTGAGAACTCCTGCTGCAGCGTTTGAGGCAGCCCCAGTTGGTCTGTTTTCTTTCCCACCAGAAGGTCATTCAGGAAGTCTTCTTTTAAGGCTGGCAGAAAAGATGCGGTATAGGCTAAGGCAAGTTAGAGTAGAGCTTCGGCATGCAATGCTACGAGGCAGCAATGAGAACAGGCTGCTCTTTTTGATATATAAAAACACAAGTTCTACCTGGCAAAGCCCTGTAAGCTGGAGGATCTAACCTGTTGTTTAGAGGAAGACTTCAGAGCTTTGTTCATTAAACAAAGAAACAATCTGCACAATGGTTTCCCAAAAAGGTTAAAGAAGCCACCTGTACTCTATACAGCCCTAAGATGGTCTGGTCTCTACTCACTTGAGACACGTTCTTCTCCCTACACAGCACTGCCAGACATGAACAGATGAACTGGAGTATCTTGGTCCGGCAGGAAAGAACTACTGCCAAAGCAGTCTCCAGGAGGAGCTCTGGTCTTGGGATTCACACTCCACTGCTCTTGGCTTTCAGGGAATGTGTCCAAAGCAATCTGATGAATAAGGCTTTAGGAGGAAGGAGAGGGTATTTCTGGCCTTAGGAGAGGTTTAATTAATTTGAAGCAGCAGTGTCCATTTAATGTTGTAAAGCATTCTAGTGAACAGTCCTTAAAGACCCATTTAAGCATTGGATCTAGCTGTCCTCTTCCACTATCAATATTTTTCAGTAGGACAATAACCCCTCAAACACAGAATGTATTTAAAGAGCCAGGCAAGTGTTACTGAGTCGGAATTATGGTTAAGATAGCCAATTTGACTGAGTTTCAAAATAATTGGTCATTGCCTGCTGTGCCTGGCTGGCTCTTGCCTTAACCCTTGCTACCCCACCTCCATTAGGACAGGTGAAGCTCCTGTTCAAGGGGGCTTTGCTGAGACAACCCTTCCTAAGACAACCAAATACGTCCTTGGAAACATCATCAAAAGATACAAGGGATGTCCTATTTACTCATCTGTCATTCTCACCTTGATCTCATACAGAAGTGAGAAAACAGAAAACAAGAAATGCAAAAAAAGCTATCCTTGTACAGGGGTTTGCCTAAAAGTCACTGTCTTTGCTGCTGAGACAAATATATCTGGCTTTACTGCTGCCCAGCTGGTTGCTGAATTTGGATAGGTAGGATGCTTAGCTACTCATTCCTATTTGTGATTTTATTATAGTGCTTATATATACACCTCACAATAGGGAATTGAAAAAAGGATTAAAGGAAGATCAGTGGCTCTCAGGGAAGATAATCATTTCTAGCTCAAAGACACCACCGTAGCTTAACTAAAAAGCCATCCCTGAGGTTCCTAAAATGGGCACTGCCTTCCCTTCGTCTTCTCCCCCTCTTCCCTTCCAATTAGCTTCTAATCTCCAAAAGCCCACATATCTGTCCAGATTCCTAATGATCTTTTATAGGTAACAACAAGTGAGAAGAGCTGTACACTGAAGACACAGCTGGTGTGCTTTCCCATTTATGTGTAGAGCACCATTCTCTTCAAAGATCCCCCAAAGTGCTTTACTAATCTAACATGGAGACTTTGCAATGGAAATTAAGCCACTTCCAGGGTGGCTCACATCAACAGTCCACAATTGCTTGTGGACTAGAAAGAACTGAAATTCCTACCTAGAGACTTACTTGTGCAGTGATCAAGAAGTCATATTATTTGCAGCAACATCTACCCTCCTACAGAAAAGTCAGTTTAATTCCCTTTGAAACAAAGGAAGCCTTACCAGACCCACACAGAAACCACAACATGGATGTGACCTCATCAGGGACATGAAAGACCCTCTCCCTTGGAGAGATCAGGTAGTCAAAATGATATCCCTTCTCTTAATACTCCCTGCTAGAGCAAGAGAGTCTATGCCTCTTCATATGGGATTGCTCATGGTGAGCACAGATAGCCAGAACACTTGCTATCATATTATAAAATCCTCATGTAGACAGAGGTGCTGGCAACCTTTAGAAACTTGTTCTGTGACCATCCATGGAGGTTACAAAGGAATTTCACCAGGCAGGAATCTTCCAGTATCAGGAAAAACTTCCTTAAGAGACCTCAGAGTTGTCTCTGTGATTCTGAGGACAGTGATTAGACAATTTCCTCACCTTCTCTTCAGCTTGCTGGCAACCCAAAAGGAGAATCAAACTGCTTTCCTATAAACCTGCCACACAGGGATCCATTACAGCACCTTGCTTCAGTACAGAAAGGAACTGTGAATTTAAACCCAAGCTGACACAGACATGGGAGCACTGAATTCTTCTTCCTCTTCTTCCTTTAGATAAGAGAAACCTCTTTAGATGGCTTCTTCATGTGCACATCACCACCTTGGGTCTCAGCTGCTGCAGCCTCTTCTGTTTTATTCTAATCTCTTCAAACACTATTACCCTGAATGTTTAACCCAGCCAGAGCCTTAACCACACAAACCCTGCTTCACATTCCTGCCTTTGTTTGCCTTCTCTTCCATAATGACAAGTCAGTGCTCACTGAGAAGCTCTAACTGTCTGGTACTTATGGGATAGAGTTTACAGCCCTCTCCCTCTGCTAGCCTTCAATCACCTCAGCACATAGGAAGAAGACAGCAGCTCTCTCCATAATACTTTGGAAGACAGGAGAAGACACTGCAAATATGTCCATGTTCTTCTCAGATCAGTTCACATAGCGACTCTAGCAGAAGGATTTAGATACTAGGCAAGAGTTTGTGTCACAGCACTTTATCCGCAAGCCCCCCTTTTCCATGGATCTCATTCACCTCTCAGCTTAAACTGAAATGCATTCTTAAGAATCAGAACTGATTTTTTGATTACCTTATTTCTGGCAGGAAGCCACAATGACCTAAAGGCAATGCTATTAAGTGCTACTAGTGACAAGGAAGAGATTTGTTTTACAACTAGAATGACATCATTATGCTAGAGGAGAAAGGAATTTGGTAGGACAATCCTGAGAAAGCCCTTGTGTTTTTTCTCCTTCCAAAGAATAATCCACTAACCTCTGAAACAACACCAGTTTGTGCTCTGCCTATAGTGTTATTTTCTTAGGTTGTGATGCATCTTCTTCCCAACACAAAGAGAGCTGGTATTAGAGTTCCCCAACTCATCACTTGCCTCACCTTCCTCATCCCCATGTCCAGAGCTATGTTGGGGCTCAGAGTCCTGGGGTTGAAGGGTCTTGTCTGGCTCGGGCAGAAGAGAAATCCCATCGATGAGGTCATCAACTCCATCCAGGATATCATTAGCACACAGCTGAAAAGAACAAGCATACCAACATGCTGCACAACAAAGAAAAGCCGCCACTAAACAACTAATTTCTGGATTTGCAAGGTGAGTCTGCACACTCTATAGTCACAGACCTTGGCACTGTTTCTTTGACAAGATAGGCTGTTTTTCCTCTTTCCGAAGTTCTCCCTTTTGTCCCTTCTGAGGGCCTTGCTTGCTTACAAAGTCACTTCATTGACATAACCAGTTTAAGTAACAGAGGTTTTACTTCAAACAAAAATGAATATGCCCTGGACACTTTTAATTAATGTGCTCGGGTGTCAAAAGTCACTTAATTTTTACATCAGATGTGACAGCAGCATGCTTTCTGCTTTTGATATTCACAATTCAGAATTTGGAAGCCCAGGTAAACATTACAGGCCCTGGTGCTTTAAGTCCTGTAACAAAAAAGAGACCATGAAAACTTAAAACACAAATTTAGCACAGGAAAACAGGAGATGAAGAGAAGAAACACAGGGAGAAGAAAGGATAAGGCTATGATGCAGCAAATTACAGTACTGGTCACCAGCAACACGCCACCGGGTGTAGCTTGATAAAGAACAAGAGAGGAGCAGGAGCCAGCAGAGGATGATTGAAGTCTGATATAGACAAACAACTGGCTTAAAGGACAGAAAGAAACTATCCACAGCTGTATCAGGTAGGCATAAAGGGTCACTTTTCACAGAGAAGGTTTGTTACAGACCTGCAGGACTCCTGCAGGATCTGTGCTGGGACACACGCTTCTCAACATATTCATAAGAAACCTGGAATAGGAGGTGAATAGTGACGTGACCAGGTTTGCTGATGCCACCAGGTTATTCAGGGCAGTAACATAGTGGCTGACTACCAACAGTCACAGAAGGACCTTGCAGGAAAGATGAACTTCAGCTCAAATAAATATAAAGCAATGCATATAGGCAAAAAAATGACAAGTTCAAGCTGACTGAGGAAGCAAGCCAGAGAGAACAGACTAAGCTGATGTTTTCATGGAATTATGCCCAACATTTTAAAAGCAAACGAAATATTGGGAAATCTTTGCTAAGAACAACATTCTGATCTCCATCCCCAAAAATAGTAGAGCTGAAAAAGGGCCATGAAATACAAAAGGATGACCATAATTCTCATACAGAGGATGAAGGAAATCAGGATGTTTTGACTATAGACAAAGGAGGCAGCTGAGACCTACAGCCAAGAGGTCTATACGACAGAAATCTACAGTCAAGATGGTGTAAGATTGGTTGCTCATTTCATTTTCAATGTTAAGAGCAAGTACGTATCAGAAAAAAAACCAAAGCTATCAGGTAGCAAAATTAACAAATGAAAGGAGCTGTTTTCCTACACAGCATGCAGAAAAGCCATGAAACTCCTTGCTCACAGCATGTTTAGAATAACAGATGTACAGAAGTCCATGAAGTCTGAACAAATCTATGGAAGTGAAGCCCACCAACCACTACCAAATACAAAGATGCCAGGCTTGGTAGGCCTCTAAGCTGTAAACTACAGAAGGATGCGAGGGCATTTAGAGAAATGTCACACTCCATACTTGCTTCATTCTTACCCTCTTCCAAGACACCCACAGCTGAAGATGAGACAAACAGGGCAATATGGGCCATCCTGCCTGCATGAACCCTCTGCTCTGGCCCAGCAGAACTAACCTAGCTTGCTTTAGCACTTCGTTATTGCTGCCAGACAGCAGAACTCTGGAATTCCTCCTGCCTGCACCAGGCCAAGAGTCAATGGAAACAGGAGATGAAGCCGAGGGTGCAATTCCTGCATTTACCTGATACCCAGAATGCCAAGAATAGTCTGGCAGCCACAGAGGTGGCATCTTCAGAGGCAATCGGGCAGTAACTGATCTCCACCTTTCCCAAAGCCTTACATGCTTACTGCTACATGACAAAGTGGCTTTGCATAGACACAGAGAGATCTCAGGACAGGCCTCCCTGGGGATGTTTCTCATCACATTTGGACCGGAGCTGAAGGGGGAACTGAAGTAGCAGCTTGTTGCCCTGTGTCTGCAGCTCGAGGATACCAGAAGAGTGACTGGGAGTGTAAGGAAAGGGAGGTGAATCCAGCCTGTAAGAAAACTGCCTAGAGTTTAGAAGTGTTTACGTACCCTCTGCAGCTGAGAGTCAATCCGCCACATCCGCAGAGTCTGATCACGGGACCACGTAACCAGCTGGTAGTCTTTAGAACCTAAAAAGGACAGAAACTTATAGACCCAACTGAAAACTGAGACCATATCACAGTGCTGCTTTAAGTGCAAACAGAAGCAAGCAAGCTGACATGGAGGTCGTGTGGATAAGGCACTACACTGAAAAGCAGAACTCGTGAATCCTATGATTCCTATCCTGCTTTGAATTGACTGGGGCCTTTAGCCCTCCCCCTGGACCACATTATACCCTATTTAGAGGCATGGTAATTTACAGATGAAAGCCACAAAATAAATATAATGAATGTGATACAGGTTTTCAAACTAGGAATGAACAAGATTGCCTATAAAGTTTATTTATGCGGAAGTGATTTGAGAAGTAGTTGAGAAATTGATTTATTTTTACGTTACTGCAAAGCTGAAACAGGTGATGAACTGAAAGACATTTTAAGATGCAAACATTTATAAACATTTCTACGCTACAGTAGCTGGCTCTAGGCATCCTCTTCCTTCTGAAAGAGCTGCTGATGCCAAGACAAGTTCACGTTGTAACCAAATACATCTAGACACATACTACTGTGTAGCAGATAAAGGTACCAGGCTATTTATGTCCATTTGTAGCCCTTGTGATACAGTTTAAATTTCCCTTGTTAAACAGCTGCTGTTTAGGAATTTGCTGCTGCACAACTGCTTTTGACACCCGTCTGTGGAGGCACAGTGGCTGTCTAAATACAGCACTGCAGATTTTGTGCAAGAAGATTTGTGCTATCTTGAGGCATCTTGGCTGTCTTTGCACTGAAGTGGACTGGGAATGCTTGTATGATTAATGTTGCTTGAGAAAAGCATGACTTCCAGCCTTGGTATGTATACATGAATTCAACTGAGACAGTGCAATTGTGGTTCAGATCTGCTTGAACATTCACACACAAGCTTTCTTAGACTGCACCTCCAGTTCCTGTTCTATATTGTTCACATATATTGTTCTATATGCTTACCTCTTTTTCAAAGAAAAGTAAGAAACAGAGAAAAAAGGTGACTTAATTGAATTGCCCCAGCAACCGGCAGCAGAATTGGATTAGAATTCGGGTCTCCTAAATCCAAGTCCAGTTGTCTGTCAACTTCACCACCAGTAACTGGCAGATGCACAGGCTCCAAGGTCAGAGATTACAGTACTGAACATCCCTGGGAATGAGAGCAGGAGTCCCACAACAGCCCTGAGAACCAGTGCAGGATTCCCATTCACTCACAGACAGCTATGCAGAGCAGAGATGAAACTCCCAGCTCAACTGTGTGCCAGTAACGTCTCCAATCTGGGGTCTCCCACCAGCTCTGTGTGCTTTTACACTGCAGAGCAGTACCATCAAAGCCAGGCATGTTCATTCTGTCGATGGTAGCTGAGGAATTTCCTATATTTAGCTGCCTACTCTGGAAAATGCAGTCAGGATTGAACTCTGTCAGCAGCCTCCCCATCCCACGCTCTCCCTCTCCTGCCTTTGCCAGCATATGGATAAGGAGGGAACACTGGTTCTGTGGTCATGCTGGAGGCTGCAATCCTGGCAGCAATGCAAGGGGTTAACTGGTTAGCCTGCAGCTCTGAGGAGGGGGAGGGTGCCTGCACTCATACACCCATCTAATAGTTTGCACAATTTATTCTGAAAGATACATTTAAAAATAGACTCACAGGGGAGAGGAAGCAATTAGAGTCACCGCTGACCCACTCAGCATTCGCTGGATTTGCTTTGTTAGCATGGAAACAACAGGGCAATGCTTCTAAGGCCACTGCGATAAAATGAGTGGAAAACAGCTGTAGCTTGGGGGGAGGAACAGCAGCAGACAGGGGCAGGAAAGCAAACTGGAGCTGCTCCAAGGAAAGGTAAGAGTCAGAGGGTGACAGCATGAGCATCGCAGCCAGAAGCCATGGAAAGCTGATGGCAGCAGGGCAGGAGAGAAAGCACTGAGCCCAGCCCTGATCTCACCTTCTTTCTGTTTCCTCCACTGAAACTCCAGCACCACGTCATCATGTCCCACAAAAGTATGAACAGGTGTGTTCAAGTCAAAGACATTCCAGAGAAGTAGGCTGTTCTCTCGTCGGAGCTGCGGAACCATCACTGTCACCAGCCCATTGCTGAAAGGCTTGAGAAAGAAACACCTTTTGGTTGAGGTACACTCCCCTGCTGTTTGCGTGCTCTGTAATTCTCACCTACTACCATCCATAAGAACATGTTGATTTTAAATGAGCTCAGCACTAAGCAGAACCAGGCCTAAAGCAGGAGAAGTGACAAGGCAACTGCTGTGTAAAACTGGCATCTTAAGAGGGAAAAGATGTAACACACTTAGAGGGAGTCAACACAGCTCACTTAAGGTTAGCCTTCTTCTGCTTCTTCTTCTTTCTGCTTCTTCCTCAATTATCAACTTTGTGCTATCAAATCTGTGCTATTGTGAGGCTGGAGTGGTTTCAGTATCGACTTTTCACATGGGATCCTTACTGCAATTTGCCAAGCACTGCAAGAATTGTTTCCTAGGGCTTGAGCCCTGCCAGCTACTCACAGTCATGACTCTCAGAGGAACACTATAACCCATTCTTACAGCCCCACGAGGAGATGTGCAAAAGGAGCCAAAGCCTCAAGAGACAGTACTGACTTCAGGACATATTCAGATGTCCAAAGAGAACAGGTATGACTAATGTGAAGAGCCTTAGCTTCACACAGCTGTGTGTTTGCTCTATCAAAAAGCACTACTTCTCAGATCTGACATGCTATAAGAGCCCAGTGTGCCACAACTGGAGATTTGGGGAGCAGAGGAAGCCCTCAGAGAGGACAAATGTCTATTCTACATGTACCAGTGCTGGACATGAGTAAAAAAAATAGGACAGCGGGAGCAGCAGCTGCTTTCCAAGCCTCCTGCTCCCAGAGCCAATCACTCACACCTGAGTTTTATCCCCAACAGGATGATGCCAAAGACTGGGATCTCACAATGCCAGTGATTTCTTCTCTTGAATGCCCCCATTGCAGACATCACTTTTCTAGGCCTTGTAAGCACCATAAAGGACTTTAAAATCAATTTAACATCAAGTAGAAGTGTCGAGAAGCACTGCAGCAGTTCTTTATTTAACATGCCTTCATGAATTTGCTCTCACAGCATAAGTGGGGCTGGTGGGTGTTTCTCACTTACCGTGTATCTCGCCTTCCAGACAGGAACCTGGCAGGGAAGGATATTGAGGTATTTCCGAGGCTGACGGTAATCCCAGAACTTTAAAAAGAAAACAAAAAAAAACAAAAAAAAACAGACAACAAAACCATCAAGCAAAGGCACATGTCAGCTGGCCTTACTTTTAAAGCTGCAGCTTTCCATGCTGCCCGTGGATATAACACAGTGAGAAATGTGCCAGGGTGCACACAGCATTACGTTAGTAACCTCATTCATTAACAACAGAGATGGCCCCAAAGGACAAATACCAAGTGATCAGCATCTGGCAGCAGCTCTTCAAAAACAAGTGATTTGTGGTCATGTTCACAGTGATCACAGCTTGAGTAATTAGAGCATGGAGACAGGGAGGCTGCTTGGGCTTTCAGAGCTACAAGGTACCCTGAAGGTCTGAAGTAACCCATGTGCCAGTCCAGACTGGAGGCAGGCCCACCTTGTTGCTATTGCTAATTCTGTAATGAGGAATCTAACCTTTTCCTTTGATAGAATACGCATCAATTGCATTCACATCAGAGCTTAGCTAAACGTGAATAAATTCCATTTGGCTGACATACCAAGCACACCATTCCCCCTCCCAAGTAAGGCTCTGCATAGCAATGCTTGCAGACATATTGATAACCCAATTTTACATGAGTTTGAGAACCCCAGGGGCTGGAGCATGTCTCCCACCAAGTTGCTGAAATCAGCTTGAGGCTGGCAACTCCACACTTTGGGAAGGAGGCACTGCTGGCAAGCAACAGGCTGAGGCAGCTGTTTTCAGTTTCAAATCACTGCAGCTGTGTTAACTATGGCAAGCACATGTGCAGCCATCCTGCAATCATTTCTCTGTGTCTACTTTGTAAGCACACCCTTGGTTCAATACAAACAGGCTGCCAGAAAACAGACATAAGGATCCAGGATCCAGATCTTGCCAATGGCAAGCACTGCCCAGTACATTAGCAGAAGGAAATCTGCTCCACCATCCTGATGCCTCCCAGGCAAAAGTCCCAGAAGCAATACTTACCCTGACGGAGTTGTCCTGGCTGGAAGTGGCCAGCGTGTACTCATTGTCAGGATGCCAATCCAGACCATGGATTTTAGAGAGATGAGCTGCTAAGTATTCTACTGCAGTGCTGGGTTTCTGGAAGGAGAGACATTTTCCTTCTCAGCAAAGGACTTCTGAAATTTGGCCTAGCTCTTTGGCATAAAAAGCAACACTTTCACAAGGGCAAGAGGTAGAACACCCTCCTGCCAAGGGAAGGTACTAGCTCATTAAATAGCTGACGGAAAGGGGCTGTGAAAGGTGAGGTAAATTCCACAGTCACCAAGTGCAGCCCTGCACCACACTTTTATGTTCAGTAAAACAGCTAAGTACTCTGAAATCAGCAGCAAAGTGTTAAATGGGTATAATTAATGATCAGAGGGAAGGAGCACCTCTCCTACCAAAGAACGGTTGAGGAAACTGGTCTTGCTCAGTCTGGAAAAGAGAAGGTTCCAGGGAGACTTCATGGCAGCCTTCCAGTACTTAAGAGGAACTTTAAGCAGGAAGGAAAATAACTTTTTACATGGGCAGGTAGTGATAGGACTAGAGGGAATGTTTCTAAACTAGAAGAGGGGAGATTTAGGTCAGATGTTATGGGAAAATTCTTTACCCAGCATGAAGTGAGACACTGACACAAGCTGCCCAGAGAAGCAGTGGATGCTCCATCCCTGAAGGCATTCAAGGCCGAGTTGGATAAGATCCTGGGCCTCGATCTGGTGGGTGGCAACCTGCCCATAGCAGGAAGTTGGAACTGGATGAGCTTTAAGGTCCCTTCAATCCAAACCATTCTGTGATTCTACGATAACTTCTGGGGAGGGAAGTTATCAACACGTTCTCTTCTGTCCCTTGGGTTCCAGACTCATGCTTAAATCACCCCACAAGAGACTGCAGATAAAACAGTATTTTTTTCTCCAGTATTTATCAGAGGGAAGTCTGCATATGGGAGGTGGGAATCTGCACACTTCAAGAGACCCTCAGCTCACCCTTTTGTCCCATATTCGGACATCCCCATCATGGCTTGTTGCTAAGCAGTTGGCATTCTTCTTGTTCCATTTGACCTGGGAAGCTCCAGCTGCAGCACAAACAAAGCAGGTCAAAATGAGCAATTAAAAAGTGGCACAGCACACTCCTGACCCATTATTAGAGCTGCTCCTAGCACAAGAAAGGCAGTTCAGAGGAAAGGTATCCCAGAAGCCAGCATGAAGGGTGGCATGGAAATGAGTAACTCCTGATTTCTCATCTTTGTGTTTGTGCCCTGAAGACACTGAACCAAGCGTGTTCCAATTGCATGCTTGTTGTACTGTGGGCTACACTGGACTAAGATACTCACGCCCATTAGCTCATATGGAGCAACTTCTTCCAGATGAAAACTGCACATTCATTCCTCCTCTCCCAGATCCTTCCACTTTCATTCAAACTACCTCCTTTCATTCAAACTACCTCCCAGTTCTCAGAGATGAATTCACCTGGCTCCCAAGCACCCATTGTACAACCAGATGCCACACAGGGCATTAGTGATACTCATCTATTATTAAAGTAAAGACGTAGGAGAAGACTGTAGCTCACCCACACAGGGTGGTCCAGAAGGCCAACCTAAGAAACTGACAAAATACACCACAAATCAAAGACATAACATGGTAAAGAAACTGTGAGATGGTCCAGGCATCGTGAGAGACTCAGACAAGGACCTAAAATCAGAAGCTGGCTGGAAATTTCCAATACTAAACTTTGGTCAATGTGGATTGTTCACCCTTTTTCTGCCAACATTTTCCAAATATTTTAAGCCATCAGAAAGGTGAGGTCAATGAGAAATCTGAATGGATCTCATAACCTGCTTCACAACCTGCCTCCTGCTGCACGATGAGCAGATTCATCCTGTCAGTCTGACAAAAAGCTAGTTCAGGGGTAAAGAGTTGCCAAGAAGCTGCCACTTGATTGAGTTGATCCACTCACTGAAGGGTACACAAATGTCTGGACTAGCACTAAACAAAACCAGACATGGGAGGAAGGAGGCTCTCTGGGGAGCTAGGTACTGGGCTTGCTCAGCTGACCTATGAAACCTCACCCCAGGCACCAGAATAGAGTGCTGTCTGTCTCTGATTCAGTATGATTTTTGCTGCTTCACGCCAATCCTGAAAGGTTTCTGCACTGCTGTGGTCAAGAGGTTTCCCAGCTGGGAGGGATGGGGGAGTCACTGCAGATGTGCAGCCAAAGGAGATCTAAGCAGGAGAACTCGAGATGCATGTTATGAGGACTACTGCAGCACCAGGGACAGTAACTCATGAAAAGGACAAGTTTTGCTTCTCATCTATACCTCACTCCACTCCAACAGGCTGCTGGTCAGGATGGACACAGCACTTGCCAGCAGGCAGCATCACAGGTGGCTAGACTGGGCACTGCCAACAGCTATGACAACTGCCTTTCCAGAGCAGATGCTCATAGAAAGCATCTTCACGTCATCGCTGCAGCTCCCAGCACACTGAACGTGCTCCAGTGAAGCACCTGGCCAGGGGCAGGCTGGGCAGCTGGCAGCATTCAATACCACTGCCTGGAGCATGGTTTAGGTTCTCAATTCAATCAAACATAAAGGCAAAGGAGAAATTGCAGACAAGCAGCACAGAGAAGACAAGCAGCATGGTTAAGCAGGGTAGAAGCTGATCACGTTTAGAAGGTACACGTGCTGTTTGACTGCTCTGCTGAAGGTTCTGGATGCTTAATTTCATCAGTCTTTCACTCCAGTTTTTAAGCAATCCCAATGAGTTCATTTTTCCTTCCGTTTCCATGCCACACAGTTCATTTTTCCTTCTGTTTCCATGCCACAAACCCCACAGCTACAGCTGGATGGCAGGCAGCAAAGGAATACAGAAGCTCCTTTCACCCACCCCTAAAAAGCAGCAGCACAAGGAAATTTCTGCACGTCACCCTTATTTCACATCCCTTCTTGCATTCTGCTCCTCTAACAGGAGCTGCGAACTGAAGTTTCTCAGGCTGCTCCTACATAGGACAATCACACGTGGTGGCACTTCTGCTATGTTTGGCCTCAAAGCATGGGAATAAGGAGAAATAATAGCAGAGGCACACAACACTGAGCTTGGATATTAAACATGTCTGTATGACACATACGCAGCATACTTACCCACTGCAGAGAGCGAGACTGTAGGCTTCCTGGTATCCCTGAAATACAACACGGATAAGGTGAGTGTCCATGGCACAGCCCAGCAAGTCCAGCCTCCCCAGAAAGCTCCTCACTGTTCCAGGACTAATTGTATTGTCGCCTCTTGGAAGTTAATGCACCTTATGCTTACTTAAGTGGTAAATCTAGAACTGAGATACGTCACATTAAATGAAATAAACAAAGAGGTAACCAACTGAAGGACAACAGTCATTATTGCCAAAAACCACAGCAGCACAGTTAGGCCCTAGGATAGAGATGTAGGGGTCACGAAGGAAGAGAAACACACGTACAGGGTGGCATGCTGCTACAGGGCAGGCAAAGGGAACACCGGGCTCACTTAAGTGTTGCTGTAGGAGGCAATAAAACAGCCTTTTCCAGAACGACTAGAAGGAACAAACAGAACTACTGAAAAACTCAGCAAAAGCTACTGCTGTGTTTCTGAGGCACACCTTGATTCAAGGCAGATGGAGCAGGGACTTCAGAGCAAAGACTTCATGTCCGTGATACAATAACAAAATTAATAGGAAATAAAGCCAGCTGCACAGACAGATCAATTTCTGCAGTGGTATAAGCCAGTGTGGCACCATGACAACATGCAGCAGCTGGGACATGAATCTAGGCAATAATTCGACACCTGACATTGCTTATCAGGAAGTTACCTGCCCCTCCATGAAAAATATCACTGGAAACAAGGAAAACTGCCTTCAGCTTGCTAGGCTGCCGTAAAGCAGAATGTTTTCTGACATGAAGTGCACCTCTCCCACTCAGAATCTCACTCTAATCCAGAAGTTTTTTTGCATGAAAAATTAAACGGGGAACTTCAGCTACCCTTCCTGCAGGGTTATCTCCCTAGGGCTTCATCAGAGACAGCTGCTTCATCAGGATGTTCCTTTGCTGGAGGCCAGCAGCCCTTGGATCTCACTGCCCCCAGGAAGCTGAAGCATTATTTAGCACACGTCGGATGTAGAGGCCAGTCAGAAATCATCTGAGCAGGCATTTTTTGGACAACTGATACAAGCAAAGACAAACTGCTGGAAGTGCACAATAGAGTTAAATCAAGGCTTCCGATACAGCCGTCACAGACCTTTTCCACCCCCCCCCCCCGCTTGATACTAAGATAGTATGGCAGAAAAAACACAACTACCAGTTATTGTCTCGCTCTGTCTTTTAATTACACATTAATAATATATCGCCATTCTCAAGCACCATTTAACCAAGGATGTAAGTGCTTCATAGGAGCTAAGCAAGCCTCAGGGTACCCTGGCGCAGTGGGGTTATGTAATTATCCTTCTATTATAACTGAGCAAGGAAGGCAGAGAGGAACAAAGTGACTTGCCAGGGGTCATAAAGCACTGCTGCATGGCCAGCAAGGCAATCCAGGAGTGCCAGTGCCAGCTCCTTGTTTCTCAGGTAGAGAATGTGAGGTTTTAACACTGGTGGGCTTGGACAGATCTATTACTGTGAAGTTACTCATGATAAGAAAGCATCAGGAATCCAGGGAAGTCACAAATAAGAAAAGGTTCCTGACTACTGCTCCCACCGCTGAGGGAATGTCAGCCACAGTCACTGCATTTAGAGGAAAACAACTTTAGAATCATGAAATGATGCTCATTCATCAAGCTAAAAGGAAAAAAAATGTTGAAGAAAATGCCTGGGTTTCAGGAAAAGCTTCCAAGGAAAGATCTGTAGTAGTTAGGGAGAGAAGCCAGTTGGTATTGCTGCCAATCAGCACAATGCCTGTTGCTTAACCATACCTATCTGTTTCCCTTCATTGACTTTGAGCTGGCTTTAAAGAAGGGAAACAGAAGCTGTTCTTTGAGACTATGGGAAGTAGATGTAGACCCTGCAAACATGGCCAAAAGCAATGCCCCTCAGCATGTGCAAGCTGCAAATCACGGAAATGAGCCCAACGATTTCCCAGAAGTGCAGAAGCATTCTGATTCTTACTTGATGTCCCAGATGTAGATGTATGTGTCAACAGAACTGGTGACCAGCAGGTCTGGTTCAAACACTGACCAGTCCAAGTCACTGCAAATACAAAGACATAGTAAGTCAACAGAGAAAAGCATCATTAGCAGCTGTGTCTTGCAAGCTCCAGTACATTTATTTGACAAATTCACAGCTACTCCATGACTTCTACTCAAACATTTCAAGTAAAAAGCAAGATCTTAATCATTTCTCTAGGTAAATACCAAGAAGCACTGAAATGCTTCTAAGTAAATTCCAGTGAAACGTCGTCCTAGCACTGAACTTCATAGCTATCCTGTGTGTTCTCTTTCCTCCACAGGAAAAGGTACACCATCTCAGTGAACTCCCGCTTATCACACATTCTTGGCACCGACCCTTGGTTCTGGAATGCCTCCTTATTGGGTTCACCAGCTCACCTGGGATACAAACAGCCTCCAGGGAGCCCAAACAACTGCCTTTTCAATTTGCTGCCATTACACCCTAAAGTCAGGAGCTGGAGTAAGACAATGCTACTAAAGTGTACCCTTACTACAGGCAGAGATCTCTATCTCTGAAGCACCACTAACTCACTGAGAACTTCATCTTTGGGATTATTTGCTTTAATTCAGCTGCTACCACACAAAAATATGGCTGGGATTCAATTTAATAAGCATGCTACTGTTTCCCCAGTGATGACTGTTGTTCATTACAAGGACAGTAGCCTAAGGCAATGACACTGGAGCTATCGAAGGCTAAGCTAATATACTGGGGAGAGCCACTTCACATCTGCCAGCTTCTCCAAATGGGAAAGTAAGACGAGGCGGAAGGGACAGTGAATAAAAAGAAGCTCAGAGTAGAGCCAGAGCAGAGCCAGGACTGAACCATTCATCTGCTATGAAACAACCCACCGTTTTCCACCCAGCAGTTCACAGCACCACTTGCTCCTCACCTGATCACACGTGTGTGTCCTTGCAAGGATGTGCAAACTTCCCCATTACCTTCCTTCCACTTATACAGGTCAACTCGCTGGTTGCTCTGAAATACAAAAGGAAGAAGTGAGACTGTGCCAGCAAACAAGGCAGGACAGGAATCCACATGCCTTGACCAGGTTCCCTTCCCTTTGAATATCCTGCTAGCAATCAGTCCCACTGTGAATAACAAAGCCCTCGCTTGACCAAAAGCAGAAAAAGATGAACATACAGGCTGCAAGGCCCCTCAAAAGCATACACTCTAATTATATCCACTTAAAATTGGAGATAAACAAGAATAGGAGAAAAATCACATTGCAAAACAATCCCATAAACCGGTGTTCTCAGAACTTTCATTTCTTAACAACAAGCTGTAACTGCAGGCAACAGGCAGGCACATTTTCTCTGCAGAAACAGCCTGGCAGCCTGCTCATGTTCACAACCAGTTTTCAGCAAGGGGGATGATGGATCACCACTGGTCCTCCTCAGCTCTCCCTCGATTCCCTTCTGCAATAATCAGGGCCACTGCCAAATGAGAACAGCACAGTCTAATGGTTTCAGGGTCACCTCCTCAAGGGTACTTTCATTTTGCCAGTTCAGGCAAAACCAAAAGATGTAAGTGCTTATCACTAACTATAAACCACAGGAGCAAGCCAAATGAATCAATGACAGCATTATTTAGGGTTTCTTCACTCATTTCAGGAATAAATCCTCCCCCAAACACAGCCACACCATTACTTGAAACTAGCCATTGTACTTTAAGTTTATATTCTGCCCTACTCAAAATTCACTTCAGCCCAGGCCAGCTCTCACCTTTTTGGGACAGAAATTGCCTTTCTGGGTGCATACACAGTACCAAGCACAGTGGGTCTTGAGCCGTGACTGGAAATTCACAAACAAAAGCCAAAACAGACTATCCTCAGTTGGAAAGGACCCATAAGGACCACTGAGTCCAACTCCTGACTCCACACAGAACCAAAAAACAGGACTTTAAAATTTCATCTGTGTTAGTCCCTCATTTCCAAGTGCACAGGCAGACAGAGGTAAAGATAATACAGAACAGACAATTCTTACATTCTGTGGCTTTTTTTTCCTACCCCAAAGCTGTTTCTTAAGAGTTTGAACTAGCAGACAGATAAAACACTCCAGCCTTCCCTGAAATGGGAGGTCTCCTCCCAGCTCAGCAATAATATAACTGCATTTCTCTAATAGCTCACAGCAGGGCTCCAGAAGAGCTTGGGGCAAGGAAAACTGCTTGCATGTTTCTCACTGAAAGAAGGACTGAAATGGGTAGAGTGAATTTCAATGGAATTTGTCCAGGACTCCAGAGCTGATGCTACAAGATAAGCATGTCCAGAAGTTTCACAGGCTCTCAGTGGAATGCCTCATGTAGAAAGTACTGCCTGTAGCACCAGGCATGGCAGGATGACAGCTCCTTCCACCAGCAGCACTTTTATAAAAGTGCTTTCAAAAAAGTGCTTCTCATGATTAAGAATCAGCATATACTTCCAACAATTTAATCACCCTCCTGTTCAAGCACTTATGACCACACAAAAGGAGTAACAAAGATCTAGAATGGAAAACAATAGTATTTCTGAAACAATGGCTCAGCAGTCCCTAAAAATGAGCCAGAGGGCAGACAGAGCCAAGCACAGCAACAGGACCTGGTTCAGTTCTTCTGGAAGTAAGTCAAAGAATGAGAAACCTCACCCAAGCACAAGGATAGGTTTCCCTTCTGACTGCACCACTTCCAATTAACCGTACTGCAAACAGAATGTAGCTTTCTTCAAGCAGGAGGGAAGCCTTTTGCACTCCCTTTCCACCCACAGTGATGCAGAGGTACAGCACATGTTACACCTGAGCTGGCTCCATATGACAGCCTCAGCAAAGGACTGAAGGCCAGAAGCAGCACAGAGCTGAATCCAAGCTAAGTTAGCCTTCCCAATATAACTTTACCCCTGTAAGTACAGCCTTACATAAACACATCCACACTGCCTCCAAACCTGGGACACAGACCTGACACCTTTCACTTTTAAACAAGGCAGGCTAAATTCTAGTCCTGGGACAAGTCCGGACTACATCAGAATCAAAAAGCCAGCTAAGTGCAAGATGGTTAAGGAAGTGATCCTGATGATGAGAAAGCTGTCTGATGTTGTCTCAGGGATTTGGTATCTGACGTGCAACTGCTCCCATTTGCAGGAAGGTCCTACTCAGACTGGACATAACCAATCACTGAATATTGCTCTGACAGGGTGTTTGAAAAGAAGCTTTCCTGCTTTACTCACAACCTGCACAAAGCATTCCTTATTTGGTTTTGCTTTTCATATGCCATATTCAGAAGTGGTAACAAAGGACACCATCTGGCAAGGTTTGTTAGTCCTCCACTTAGAAGATGACAGCTGCTGAAGGCACCTGAAAGATGTCAGTCATATATACCAGAGCTGGGAGGAGAAAGAGATTGGGGACCAGGGAATGTCAGAGGGCAAAGCAATAAAGGCTGCTAACTTGCAACACCGGTTCACTTTAAAGACCATCTTTAATTTCAATAGCTAGTCCCAGAAAGAGAAGGAACAAAAATCATCTTCAACTGAGTTTTCACAATATAATAGAAAAAACCTCCGCACTTACTTATTTCAGGACTCATCTATAAAAGCAGAAGCAACTCAGCTAACATCTCACCATGACAATAGGCTGCACCCAGCCAGTAGCCATCAGCTCCAGTACTGCAGCAAAGGTTGCTGCTGGCAGCTGAGCATGCTGTGTGAACAAGCTACATAGCACCACAGACAGAGATCAGAGCTGCACTCAGGCCTCAGATGGCCATTAAATGAGCACCGTTTAAACATGGCTTGCATCAGTGCTTCTTCACACCAGCTGATTTACTTCCCCACATGTTTAACAAAAAGCCGTTGCTGACTCGGTCCCTGCCTTACAAGCCCAGATAGTTACAGTGTTGAGCCAGTATTGACTTGTGCTATTTACAGACTGCCTGGTGCACCACAGCCCACCAGGAAGGCAGGGAGGTGAAAACAAAACAGCACAGAGCAAGAAATTCAATAAGTGCACAAATCTCATAACAGAATGGAGGTTAGAAACAGAACAACCCCTCCCCCTTCCTTCCTTCCTTCCAGAAGAGGACTATTTGGATGCCTGATTTATCTGGTAAGGTGCTTTATAAAACACAAGGAAGAAAAACTAGATTCAACACTTACTGACCGATCACGGAGAACCAGCAAGCCAAGTCCCTCACCTCACTAGCAGTAAATCAGAATTAGGCCTTCGTCTTGCTATGAGACTTGCAGAGGCATGCCAACATCAGCTCCACACTGCCTTCCAAGTGTGCAGAATTCCACCCATAAAAAACTGGGGAACGGTATGAGCTCTACTGCTTTTACAATGAGTGAACTCACCGAAGCTGCAAAATAGTACGCGTAGCTGTCGTGTGGGTTCCACTGCACTGCCCCAATGTCCCACTTGCTCTGCCGGGAGATCTTTCGATGGCCCTCGTTTGGTGCATCCAGATTGACTATGTAGAGGAAACGGCGGCTGCAAGGCACAGACACAAAGAGGTTGCATCGCACAGGGCTGATCTCAAAAGCCCAAGCTCACATGGAGCTTACAGCCAAGCACAGGAGCTTCACAAGACACACGAGAGCACCCTCCTAAGAACGCTGCTTTCGGTAACAATTCCAAACAGACATTTAGAAAAAAATAATAAAACAAAAACACTGAAAATCTGTAAATGCAACAGGCAGCTCAGACTACAGAAAACTTCAGTAAGCAGGGCACAAAAGCAAGCACTGGGAAACTGTGCAAAGACATACAGATACACTTTGCTGGACTAGAGCAGTAGCACAGAGGAGGTGGCTGAGGCTGGGTGCGCAGAGCACTGCCTGCACAGGAGCCAGCTTCACCCTGTGGAGGCTGATCTGAGCAGGAGTCAACAGACCCTAACAAACCTGGCTGAGGGTTTTCACACTGCGATGTCTGGGGGCTTGTGCAGGCAGTACAAGCAGAACCACACAGAGCTACCTCAGCCGCAGCACTGTATGAATGTGGGTGGACACAGCACTGCACTGACCTGGTTATATTGCTGACCTGAGCCAACTCCATATGCAGAAGAGAGGTGTTTGCATGCTGCTGAACCTGTGCTCTGTTTGCTGCTGGACATGGCCAACTCCCCATAAGCTAGGTGAGATATTCCCTCCACAGTGTGATTCATTTCTCAAACAAGATAAAGCTCCCAGAAATAACTGTGAGCTCGCTGAACTCTAATGGAAGGCCAGTACCAAAACATATGGAACTGTATATAATTAACCACATCAGCATCACATGTGTCAGCTGCGTGGTGAGCATACAGCTGCTCTGAGCATGGAATTCTCCCAAGAGAAAGAACACAGAGAACCTCTGTTGCTTTTCCAGAACTAAGTCCCCAGGGCAGAGCTCCCTGCTCTGAAGAGTGAAGATGCTGAGGCCTCTGAGGCTCCTATGCACCTTTAAAAGAAAGGAGGCAAATTCTGAACAACTACTGGAGAATTCTGAAAAGCAGTTGGTCCTGACAGTGAATAGCAGACAGACTGCCCTCAGCACACTGCTGGCCCAAATAAACTTTAAAGTGGGTGTGTGCGAGGAAGAGATATGAAGTTAGACCCAAACCAGCTGCTCAGTTGCTGCTCCTGTGCAGGCATAGCTGCTGGATGAAGGGCCAGGGCTCTGCATGGTGCGGAGCTTCAATCAGCAGAACCACACACATCCTCAGTAGCGAGCCACAACCAATGCAAAGCACGCACAGTCCCTTGGTGTCCCCCTTATATCCCACTGCAAGTCCTACAGCTGATTTATCAAAGGTAGAGAGACATAAGGCAAAGAGACTAGCATGCACAGGAATACATTACTGTCAGATCAGCTCTGCTAATACCTCATGGATGGAGGTGACAACGGTGAATTATGTAAAGGGAAATGGGAAAGCAGAGGGCAGAAAATAAGCCTGAGAAAACTAAGGCAGGAGGTGTTTGGCTCTTCACAAGCATCACCCTACACTGAATCTATTAAAGTAATAGGTCAGTGACAGAGAGAAGCTTGGCTCCTCTCACCAAGCACACTATGGGGGGCAAATTTCATCTTAAGCAAATGACAGTATTTATTTCAAGCAGAACCCAAACAGTGCTTTCTCCCACTCCACTTCCCATAGCAGATTTGGGAAAGCATACATCAATAAAGCCATAGCAGCATTTGATTTGTGTTGTTGCTAATGTCTGTAAACTCTGCATCCCACTGGAAATGTTCCCCACAATCCTCTTTGTGAAGCCCCTCAAACAGAATTCAGCTGCACCCTTCCAAAACAATTTATCAGCCCTTCAGCTGAGGTCAACCTGAAGGTTGCTGATTTGGCTTGTGAAAGTGACTGTCATACATTTCTAATGGGGATTGTCACACTCACCCTGAGAGTACTGCGTGCTGTCCCAGGCAGTCCACTGACATAGCAGTTGCCTGTTAAAGACAAACAGAACAAGACTAAATTATACCTGTCAGTTCGGCTTCTTAGTCAAACACACAGCTTTGGGGAGGAGCTCGGGAAAACCTGCAAGCTTATCTTCGAGGCATAAACTGCTCTAAGAGTCAAAACTGATATCTCTCTGGGGTAGCAGAAGTAACAGCCCTTAAAGGATCATGGATGGGTGACAGGATGCAGCAGTTGATTTGGGGATGCAGGACAGTGCAGAGAAAATATTCTTTTTTAGAACAAATAGAAGACCAAGATGTGGTAAACACCATTTCAGGCACTCGCTTCATTCTGACTGCTCTGGCAATCACTGCTGATGCCTTTCAATCAGCAATCTCACATAATCCTTATTAATCAACCTCTGCTCCTGCTCAGGGGCTTTCTCAGCTGCTCTCCTGTTGCAGGGCCAGATTTAATTACATATGTAGAGGGAGATAAAAGTGCAGCCATTTGCGTGTGGCTGGTCTCCAAACAAGGGATGGCTGAGAGGCATCAGAATTTACTCCTTGTGTAGGAGGCTAAGAGAGAACTTAAGCACCAAGAGGAAAAAAAAACAACAAAAAACCCAACCACCACAAAACAACTGCTTGAACGCCATCACCCCCTCTCTGTTCAGAATGGAACTGTTTGATGGATGATGAGCTCGTTTACTTGCCAACAGAATAAAGGAAAATTTGACTTGAAAAGCTGTGCAGCTCGCCCCATAAACATAGATATGTCTTCAAAGCAGTTCTAAGCGTTCACAGCGCAAAAACAGAACATGCCCCACATTCTTCAAGCTCTCTGCTGTCATCTTCAAAGCTAACTCTGAAGGCTGAGCATGTCTCTACTGCTGTTGGTGGCTCTGCCAAGTACACTGAGCACGGATTCAACCAGACTTTGGGATGTCCCACAGCTGCTACTTAGAAGCAGCACTAAAATCAGACAATATGGCAATCCCGCTCCGTTTCAATCACAGTTGCCAGAAGATTAACCATCATAAAACCTGGTTTCTCCAACCACTCTGCAAACTGCCTGCCCAGCACAGGAGGAAGGCTGGATCACTTGCTTGCAAGTGCCTCAGCTGAGGGAGAGACAGCTGCACCACAGGGTTGTTCTTCACTGGAGAGCAGAGGACTACAAGGAGAAGAGCTGTATCTACACCCCACCAGACAAAGCTGTATTACGTCTGCTACCCTCCTAGCTAGGTAGCAAATCTAGTTTTCCTGCAAGGTTTTCCTCATCCTAAAACTAGGACTCTACGTAAGCAGCCAGTTTCTAAATCTCTAAATGGTAACAAGGTAATTCCAGCTTCCTAGATTTTCCTTGCAAAACAACAACGTGGGTTATTAAACTTATTTTTAAAAAAGATAATCACACAGGACAAGGAAGTTTTCCCAGATGATGCATATATTTCTTGTGATGAATTAGAATGAGGATCACTGAAACCACTACTGGAACCAGAGCTTTCTCATGTGATGAAGTGCCCGTCAGCTGCCATATTTCACACAGATTTGGCCATCTTTCCCCAAACTGGAATAACACCAGTCAGTTTAAAGTGAATGATCACTTTGTGTACAAGTTTATTTCTCTAGTGTTGGCACCAGAATCTCATAAATCCTTATAAAGAGTTTTTAATAATGAACATTGCTAAACTGTTTTTTCAGGCTCCAAACATCTAAGACGTAATGACCAATTAGAATGAAGTAAAAACCTTCCTGTGTCAGGTTGCTACTATTTGGGTCACAAATAAAATCATTTTATGGCAAGATCTTCCTTATACTATTACAGTCTCTCATCCAGGCAACAGGGGAAAAAAAAAATAAAGCAGCTGTCAGACACATTTGATGTGCTTTGCATATTGACATGTCAGACTTCACAGCACAACTTTCCAGACGGGGGAAGTTGAAATGAAAGAAACCCACCTGAAACTGTTGCTTTATCCTAAAACAACAATTGGACTAGCTAGAATTGTAATTTATGAGTACCAGTTCTCTGAATAAGCACATCTGAAAACCGCCTCTGAGCCCACAGTGCAAGCAGTAACTCAGAATTTCAAAGGTGACTGTAGCATTGCACCTGATTCCTGCTAGGCAAGCCAAAGAAAACACCTTTTCATACCTGATCTTACATAAATTTTGAATCTAGCCTTGTTATCTCTCTGAAGTACAACAGACCAACCTGATTTGCCAAGGCTTTCAAGAGCAGCAAATTCTCAGCAAGACAAACCCGCTGCCTGAGTAGCTGACTCCACTACTCACAGTGAGTTGCTTTGCAGCTGGATGTGGTAAGCTGTATGCTCCTGTTAATAGCACAGACAGCCTGAGGAGAGCCTGCATGTCACATACCAGAAAAGCATCAACTACTGCCTCTGTCAGTTTGTAAAGACAGATGTCACCTGTAGCCAATACTGGCCCCAAGCTACCCTACCATTTTCAGTAAAAAGCGTTGCTGGTTGGGTGCTGTAGCTTTCTCACAACACCCTGGCACGGAAAATAAAGGTCACTTCTTGCAGACATGTCACATCTTTGACCCTTTGGTGTTGTGTCTGTTTTGTGGTAGGGATGTTGGAGACAGCATGGCCACCAGGCAGAGCTCAAGGTCTGTACAGAAGCTGAGGTGCTTCAATATCTCAAGCTCAAGTTTCCTATCTGCAGGCTTCAAAGGGAAAAAGAAAAAGCAAAAAAAACCCAAAAAACAAACAAACAAACAAAAAAGCTCAAACCCAAATACATAAATAAGTTCATCCTGAAACCAGCAGCCGAGCAGCCCTGGACACTGCAACTCTCTGGTTTCACATGAGAGCACAGGCAGGTCAGAAAGATCACACCAGAGTAAACCAAAGTGACCAAAATACCAGCGGTTAGCCTCCCTGCTAATCATAGACTCATAGGATGATCTGGGTTGAAAAGGCCCACAGCGCTCATCCAGTTCCAACCCCCTGCTATGTGCAGGTCACCAACCAGCAGCCCAGGCTGCCCAGAGCCACATCCAGCCTGGCCTTGAATGCCTGCAGGGATGGGGCATCCACAGCCTCCTTGGGCAACCTGTTCCAGTGCCTCACTGCCCTCTGGCTGAAAAACTTCCTCCTAATATCCAACCTAAACCTCCCCTGTCTCAGTTTAAAACCATTCCCCTTTGTCCTATCACTAAAGTATGCACCAGCACCACAGCAAGACTGCAACCAACTGCTGCAGAGGGTTCACACACCTGTTCTTCCCCACTCCGCTCCCACATGCAAGTCATTATGAATAAGCGATCAAATCATGAGGCACATTTCTCCTGAGCCAGATGTAATATGAATCTCCTATGTGGGGGTAAGTACCCTCATATCTCAGCTTCCTGAGAGCAAATCCTCGCCAACAGATAGGACAGCTTTACACATTTCATCCAGGAGGAAAGCAAAACCAACGTCAGGCGTTTCAGCACGGAGCTGACAAACTCTGTTGGCTTACAGAGGGCAGGCTGGGTACAACGTGCGGGATGTAAGGGCCTGGCTGGGAATGGTGAGCACAGAGCTGGCACTGATCTGGGACGTGAGGAAGAACAGAAGATGACTGCAGACTCTGTTTGTTTTCCGGGTTTCTCGGGCTCATCCACCAGGCTGAGCTCTGTGAGAGCAATGGTAATGCCACAACAAAATACTCTTCCACAGAACGGTTTCTAAGAGAGCACACAAGCAGGGCCTGAAGGGAGCGCTGCTACAACCTGCACACACAAAGCCAGAGCTGGCCTCTCTGCTCTTTCAACCCTAACCTGCTATTCCTGCTGACCACGCTACACCCAGCAGCCCTATGGCAGCCAGCAAAGGAGCTGCGATGGCCTCAGAGGAGGAACGAGGAGCGGGGTGCGGGAAGCGGGAACGCCTGCTGTTAGGCCCGGAGCAGAGCTGGAAAAAACGGACGCGTTTAGAATTAATACTGCAAACGAAGCGCCTCACGGATTAACGCGCTTCCCCACCAACCGAAGCGGCGACAGAAACAGCCCAAACCCCGCGAGGACGTTCGCCATCCCCGCAGCCCCGCGCTGCGCTCTGAGGGGGCACGGCCAGCAGGCCCGCGGCGGGCCGTCCTCAGCAACCCCGCGCCCGCAGCCCTTCAGCCCGGCGCCAGCCGCCAGCCACAGACCGCGCGGCACGGCCCTGGGGCCCGGCGGGGCGGGGGCTCGCGCTGCTCCTCAGGGCCCGACCTGGGCGTCGCGGAACTCCACCACCACATTCTCGCTGCTCCAGCGCGCCGCCATCTTAGGCCGCCCCAGCAACGCCCCGACGCCGGCCTCGGCGGGGCGGGAAAGGGGGCGGGGCCGGCGGGACGCGCGTGCGCACCGCGCAGCCACGCGGCGCGGGGGCCGCCGGGACTCGTAGTCGCTTGGCGCCCCTCTCCTCGCGCAGCCCCCGGCCCGGCGCGCTGCAGAGGCGGCGCGGGTTCCGCGCTCCGGCCGCGGCGCGCAGCGGGGCCCGCTCAGCGGCGCGCGCGGGGCC